AGAAATCGAGCTATAAAATCCATAAATCAACCCATTAGTTGCCCAATAGACCCATGTACAACAGTAATTCCACTTCGACTGGGGACTCTGGTGGTCACAGCTGCCAACCACGGATCAGAAATATGAAAGGATGCTTGGGTGTACCCTCTGGTAATCTAACATGACAGTGGAAAGTCTACCCTCTGGTAAACTAACATAGCTATTGAACATGACCATTTCTAGTGGATTTACCCATTAAAAATGGTGGATCTTTCCATAGTTATGTAAACGTTTACCAGAGGGTATTTATTTGCAGATGATTTCCGACAAAAAACATGGCGGGAATTTCCAGTGCTGATAGAACTTGTGTCACCAAAAACTGCCAAAGTCGCTCGTGACGTGGCTTTCGCACAATGTTTGCTCGTGATGAATCTTCCAATTGAACATATCATTGCTGCCATTTTGGGGTTTGATTCAAAGGTTTTTTTCACTGGGGAATCCAGAATTGTCAAACCCGCGTGGGTCGTTGTCAAACATGGAGACCTTTTAGGCAATGTTTTATTTACTGATTGGTTTATTGGTGCTAAACGTGGGGAATGGATGGGTTGCTGGGGGTTGCTGGGGGTTGCTGGGATGATTATTACTAGTGATTATGGATCATTCCCGAAAATTCCCTGCTAAGCACCAGTAAGTTTATTGCTGTCTATTTGTATTCAGATCTCAAACCCTTGTCCAGAACCCTGTTTCAATGCCGGCCACCATTCTCAGCAATGCTGATGTTGCAAAACCCTTGGGGGTCAATCATTCGTAAGGGGTATACCAATGTCTATCATCTAATTATATTCAATGATCCCAAGAATATGTTCCAGATTTCTAGGCTTGAAAGCATTTACCCTTTAACATATTTTAACATAATTTAACATAATTTAACACAATCTCGATGATTTTACCCGTTGAACATGGCTTTCATCTGCTACTGTCAGGATGGCGGCGCTCCGATCTTCGCCTACCGGTGGGGAAGTCATTTTGTCGAACTTAAGATATGATAGCTGAGTTTGGAGTGATTCAAAGTTCATCGATGTTGTCTTTTTTGGTCTTTACGGAACATAGAACGCTCATGTCGTTTTCTGAACTTTGGAGCAGACTGAAGTGCTGCAGCGGTTTTTCCGTCTCATAACGCCATAGGGTACACCATTCGGATTGTGGGGACACAAACAGCAGCTTGATGCAAATTAAATAAATACAACCATTGGATTGCGGATCTCAAGTCATCCTAGAGAGGTTTACATACAGTAAAACTTCTGTCCGAATCGGACGATAGTACCGGGCATCTACCAACAGTGTAAATTGTGCGACGGAGGCAAGTTCGATGCCGATTTGTAGCTTTCATGTGCTTTCCATCAGCTAAATCATCAATTGGTTGCTTATACTAGTGTATTCTCATCCTGCTTGCATCTATCAGTTGCACTACATTTCCTGTTTCCGCTCCATTGCTGATTGCTTGCACACTACAAATATACCCTCTGGTAATTTAACATAGCTATTGAAAATGACCATTTATAGTGGATTTTCCCATTATCACAAATGGTGATTTTCAATAGCTATGTTAGTTTACCAGAGGGTATGTGAAAGAACGTCATATCTATCGTACTGTTTGACATGATATCGCATCGTCTCGTCTTGTGATCTTATGTTGACTTACTGAATTTATATAACGTCAAGTCACATCACATCATATAACATCATACCGTATCATACAATATCACATACATATTTTTCCATCAATATGATACCATATCACATAGATATCATATAACATCATATCACTACATTGTTGCTTGTATCATATTTTGTCCATTTCGCTAACATCTACCTGGACATTGGTGTTGCAGGATCTGGCAGCGCACTGGGACAGGTTCCCTTGTGCTTGCCCGGATGCCCAGCGGGACGCGTTCCCAGACGGTGATCTTGGCTGGTTGGTACCTTTTTGTTAGCTTCAAACAAACACCATATTTTTTCCATTTTTTCCCAGAAAGACATCTTCTGAATTGGAAAGGTGCACGAGATTGACATAGATTGACCACATCCGACCACAATCTCCAGCAAGGCCCATCTCAGCCATCGCCATTTCGCCACCTGCGCGCGCATAGGCGGTGAACAGCAGCGAGAGTAACGCCACAGAGGTCATCGTGGAGTCACTGCCGCTGGGATGTGGTGATGGCTACCCAATTCAGAAAGTCACGGGTTGGAAACCAAAATGCTGATGATTTTCATAAGTTGTTTTTTTTGTTTGATGATTTTCATAAGTTGTTTTTTTGTTTTCCAAACTTTAGCAAAACATATATAATAATATCATATATATATATATATACTAGTTTCAAAAGTATGAAAGCTGTATTGGAATTGGAAGATTTTTCAGATTACCTTGTGATTTTCTCAACTGTGGCTAGTCATGGCTAGCTGGAGGATTCCCCATTGTCTTTTTCATGATTTCCTCATTCAAATGCCCATTTAGGCCACCGTGTTTTCCCAGTTAGCCGTGAACGCCATGTCTGATTACCAGCCGGTAAAGAAAAATCATCCGAATCATCTTCCAAACTCATTTCTGTTGGGAGTTGCATTCTAGCATTCAAGGACGTAGATTTATGACGCAAAATGCTTCATTTTACTGAAAACCGGCAAATCATAATAATAAAATAATAATAATAAAATAAAATAGTAATAATAATAAACAATAAAAAACATAATGATAATAATAATAATACAAATAATAGTAAAAAATAATAGTAATAAAACAAACCAAAAAACAAACCCATGTTGTTTTTTTCATAATGTTATATAATTGTTTTCCATTGTCCAATGAATGAAGGTCTCTCGACGTCATAAATGTAGATGTGACTATGTTGCAACAAAACTTGGCGACATAGACTCGAGCCTCAATACTGAGCTATAAAGATGGGGGTGTCACCACCAATGCTGGCCGTATCATTAGCGTTCATGTGGTTGGTGTTTGCAACCCCCATGTCTTCAAGCCCATGCCGAGGACGAGGACTACGGCTTACAGCTTCGTGGTGGCAGGTGTGAACACTTTGGGAGTTGGTTCCCTCAGCGAAGAGAGCATGCAGGCAGGGCTTCACACTGACCATCAGTTTTGGCCATGGAGGATCCCTGGTGCTTTGCCCTTTTTGGATTCCCAGTTTTCAATCCAAATCCTGAGGGTGAACTCAGTTCACTTCAAGAACTTTCCCCATTTTGTCCCAAATTTCTCCTGTTCGCTGGCCGTCGCTGGCTGAACAAATTCCTCATGGCTTTTCCGCCGGCAGCGCCAGGTCTGGACCCTACCGGTGGCGCCTGCCGCAGTGGAGCAGCTGCAGCTGGAGCCATCGCCTTCCAGGCTGAACTTCACCTGGGAGGCACCGGACGATGGAGGCGTGCCGCCCGATATGGGCCCGATATGGCCCTGGGGGCCCAGGGCAGTCTGCCGCGATGTTTTTTGGGTTGAACGTGACGCACCAAAAATGGTGAATTCTGGTGAATGAAAAGATGGAAAAACCTGGAGAAGTGGCGAAGAAAAAGCATCAAAGCATCTGGAATTGATCAAAGATGGGGATTTTCACAAAAGAACATGGTGGTGTTTCGAAGACCAAAAGAAAGGTGTATTGAACCACAAGGAATGGTGAGTAAACATGAGTAAATCATCCAAAACGGGGAATTTTTATCATCAAAAGCAGGTCTTCGACCAGAAATGATGGATTCAACTGATTCAAACATCAATCACCAGCCTGAGGCTTAAAGTCCCGATGGATCTGCGCCCCGTGAAGCTATAAAATCATATAAATGCCCCAAAACCATTTGGGGGTCCAATTGGGGTCCAGTGGAAGCCATGGATCATCCTACCCAGCTTGATCTGCTGGGAGGCCTGCCCATTGACTTCTACACCATCGAGATGCACCTGGAAGACCTTGAAGACCTGGAATCTGGGCCCCCTGACGAATTTGGAGGTAGAATGCTGATGGCTAATATTTGCTGCTGCACGGCCACAAAAATAAAAGGTGGAATCGAATTTGGAAATCACACATGGAAATAGAACATTCCCCATTTATTGATGATGTTCCCATTAAAACATTGATTTCTAGGGGATTTCCATCTTAGATTTTAATCCATGAGCATTTTGTGTGTCATTGGATCGATCCTCCGGTTGCTTTGGTCCGCATATCCAACTGCTCTCAATGTGGCTTTCATCAAGAGAACACAGACCTTCGGCGCATTTTGTTGATGGAATGATATTCACAAACAAAAAACATGCTCCAAGGAAGCCTTGTCAAGGCAAGATCTAGGTGAGAGGCATCCATTAACAGGGGCTAATTTTCCATGCAGAACCATTTACGGAGGGATCATGGCACATGTTTGAATGTGTTTTTCAACGTTTTTGTCAGCGTGACCCCAAACCAAGTCTGCAGTGGATGATCTATTCTCTGTGGTGAAACCATCCACAATTTTGCAGACACACCTACTCATTTGCCACTTGTTGCTCTTCAATTCTGGTCTGGTGTCACATTCTTGTGACAGCCGGGGTACAAGAAGAGCAAAGATCAGCTTGGGCCTTGTGTAGCACCTAGGAATGTCCGTTTCCATTCCAAGGTGTATAGGGCGGCTTCAAACATCTGGGTGGTCATGGCAGCCATGTTCATCCCTTGAGATCCCCTGCTGGTCCCAGTTGCCGGCTGCTTCCCCTGGTGGGCATCCCAGGTTCTTCCTGGTGGGCAACCTGAGTTCCTCCGGCTGCCGCTGCTTCCAACTGACGGATTTGATGGCCAACCGAAGCTATCGGCTGCAGATCTTCGCTTGGAATGCGGTCGGCAGGCAGGGTTCATGGCCTTGGAACTGTTGACATTCATATCAGGGAAGAATGAAGAACCAAGAGTAAAGTGCAAAGTCCAAACTGCGGATGCATGAAGCCCTTATACATTATATACATATATGTGAATATTGTGATTTTTCCACACTTGTTCACACCGATGTCCTTGATGTGAGATGCCTGCAACTCCAGTATTCATGCTCCGTGGCTTCCCGATCAAGTCCATGGGAGGGTGTGGATGCGGACCGTTGGACGGTACATGGCTGAGTGATAAACACTTGCAGCAGCTGCGGAAAGACAGGGTCTTTGGCTGGTGAACCGGGTTCATCCTTTATTCAATTGGACAGGGTTCAATCTTCAACTGATTAGGGATCAGTACAATAATCATCATTGTTGATTCATCTTTCAGATCAACTGGGTTGATCCACTTTGACCTTTTGGTTGGACGTTGGCAAAGCTTCCAGTGTGTGAGGCCTTTGACCTTTCACACTGGTAGCGGAGCTACCAAGGCTCCAGTGTTGTACACTGCAAGAGTGTAGATCCAGGGAGGAGCCAAAGTTTTGTGTATCGCTGGAACATGCCTCCAGCAACCGCCGATGGAGAAAGCAGTGGTGGCCTGGGAGTTCCTCTTCCTGATGATGCAGATCTAGGAGGATCTCAGTTGAATGCCAATCCCCAACCTCCATGGCAAAGCATACCAAAATTCATTCCTGGCACCACCAACGTTCAGGAGTATGTGCAGAAGCTGAAGTTCCTGGCTGCAATGTGGCCGACAGAACACCTTCCCCAATTAGCTCCGAGAGCTGCCTTATTGGTGGAGGGTACCGCCTTCAAGAAAGTGGCGCGTCTGGATCCGAGCAAGCTCAAGGTGGCCAGTCAGTCTGGAATAGCCTTGCTGGTTGATGCAATAGGTGGTTCATGGGGCTCAACAGAACTCGAAGAACGCTATGAGTACTTTGAGCGTGCCTTGTATGGGACAGGACAACGACATGATGAGAGCCATGATTCCTTTCTAGCCAGGATGGAATCTAACTTCGTGGAATTACTGTCACGAGGCACCACGCTTGAAGAAGTCCAGGCGTACGTTTTGTTGCGCCAATCCACCTTGCCAGCAGAAGACAAAAAGAGAATCTTACTGGAACACGAGGGTGAACTTCGATACAAACCAGTGGTCAAGTCTTACAGGCTTTTGGGAAGTAAGTTTTTCAGTGAATTTCAATCTGGAAAGAGTTCAAACAAGACCAAGGTGTACGATGTCAACATGTCCGAGACTCCAGATTCGGAGACAACTGATGCTCATGATCGAGCTTTCCATGCCCATGCAGAAGATTTTGACCAAGATCTGGATTTTGAAGTGATTGAGGCCCTCGCGGCCCAAGAGGACGCTGACGCCTTGACCATATGTGCCTTTGAAAATGAACTGGAAGAGTTTATGCAAGAGACTCCCCAGATGCATGAAGCGATGGTGACCTACATGGAGGCCAGAGCTCGATTGCTGGAAAAGCGCAAGAACCGTGGTTTCTGGCCCGCCAAGGGACGTGGCAAGTCCTTCAAGGGTGGAAAGTCGAAGGGAAAGCGTTCCCGTGATCGTGAGCAACTCCTTGCTCGTATCTCAAGATCTCATTGCCGAAAATGCGGAGCTTTGGGACACTGGAAAGCAGAGTGTCCACAGAACAATGTGGACAAGTCTTCTGGTGTTGGTGCAACTGCCTCTGCAAATGTAGCCGTGAATGAGACCGAGCCCTATGCGGACGAGGTGTACTCTGAGACTGAGGAAACATGTGACCAGCAGGCTGGGATTCATAATGAAATCGCCATGATAAATGAAACATGTTTCATGGCCATGTCACAGGTAACAGATGAAGACCGACAGCGTCTGCAGTCCCGTATGTCCAGTTTTCTCCAATGTCGCCGATCTCGTCCTGATCCAGATTTGGGGTTAAGTAAACGGGGCATAAATAAGTGGAATCATAAAGGGGTTAAGCACCCGTTACAGCCTGCCTTACAAGATTTGCGTCCGAGGGTGCCAGAAAATCCAAAGATTTCCAACATGTTCAGCTACTCCACTGTGCCCAGGAATCCACCTGAAATCCTGATGCAGCCGTTAGTGACAGATGTCAACCAGGCCGAACCGATCGAAGAATCAGTTCTGATCAGTACCATGGATGCACGCTCCTATCACGCCATTTTGGACACAGGAGCGAGTAGATGCATAATCGGTGAAAAGACGTTGCAAGCTCTGAAGGGTTGCCTTGCTGAAGACGTTCAAAGCAGGTTGAAAACCAGTCCAAGCAAAATCAAGTTCAGATTTGGAAATAATCAAACCTTGACCAGCACATACCGTGTTCATTTTCCACTGAAAGCACAAGACAATAGAACAGTTTGGCTGGCAGTTGAGGTAGTTGAAGGTGCAACTCCGTTCTTATTTTCCAAAAGAGCTTTCAAGTTGCTTGGAGGGTCGTTGGACACCACCACCGACTCCTGCTGCATGCACCGTTTGCACTCCGAAGCCATCCCTTTAGAAGTGAGCAGTACGGGGTTATATCTTATCAATATTGGTGACCTTTGTCAAGGGGATACAAATGTTCATGCCAGAGGTTCAGAAGCCTATGTTGGGGAACCATGTTCGGAAAAATTTCCAATGCATGCAGGGATACATGGGAAGAGCCTCCAGCGTGATGTACAGTTTTCATTTGGTCACCAAGCCGGAAAGCCTTTCCGGACAAAAAGTGTCACAACAGCCGTGTCAGACCCAAACCTGTCCAGCATTTTGCAGACCGTGCCAACTGAGACGCCTCACCATGCCGTCTTCCGTCATGCTTTTCAAGGCTGTTGTCGAAGCCTTGATCCAAGTGATGACCATGCTGCTCCAGATGTTGATTCAGCATCTCGAAGTGCAGACGGATCCACACGATCCGAACGAAGCACCTCTGGAAACAAGCCAGCAGATTCAGCTCATGATGGAGGAGCTTCACAGTCAAAAAGCCACTTTGGATCAAGTTCTGCAACAACGGAAGTCCGATCAAGCCTCACTGGGAAAGACCAAGACGGGTCAATCGAGTCAAGCTGCCCGCAGCAAGATTCCCATGACCGCAAGGACTCCTCAGGCCGGAGTTCAATCTGGAACTGGAAGCAATCGAAAGATGATGTCTCCCGGCACAAGTTCGACGCCAATGATGTGGTGTTTGGACGAGTCCGACGAGGACGTGCTGGTGGCCGAAGAGGAGCTAGAGATTGTGGAGACCACCACCACAACACAGATTCCTCGAATCTCAGTGGTGGAGCGTTCAGCAGTGGCTCACCCTCCTTTCGAGGACTGGGGAAAGCATGTGATCACATGGGGCAAGAAACACAAGGACAAGACCTTCGAACAGGTGATGATCATGGACGTGGGCTACTTCGAATGGTGCCAGAGACGTTACACAGCTCTGACACCCGAGATGAAGGAGTTTGTCAGATACGGCCAACTTCGTCTGACGCGCTTGGCGGCAGAGAGCTCAGCAGATTTGGCTTGAATGATTCAGATTTCCACAAAGAAATTCAACAAGTTCGTCAAGAGCTTCAGAAAACCAACAGTTCAGATGGTCAAGAAACACCAGCTCTGTTTGACAGTGTTTTGAAAGCGGAGTCCATTTTTGATCAACACATGTGTGAGCGACAAAAGTGTTCTCGGTTTTCCAAAGATCGCCTGTTTCTGCTGGAAATCTATGCAGAAAGCCACAGCCCTCTTACCGATGCGGTGAGTGATTTGGGCCTGCCAAGCCGTAGATTCACGAAGGCAGATGGAGATCTATCGACCATCTCAGGTCGTGCCAAACTCTGGAATTTAATTGAAGAATATCAGCCCGAACACATTTGGGTAGCCCCGGAATGTGGCCCATGGAGTGGATGGAATAGATTGAATCAAAGCAAAAGTTTGGACTTGTTTGATGGTATCCAGTTCAAACAGAACCAACAACTGCCTCACTTACAACTCTGCACAAGACTTTGCAAATACCAAGTCGCCAGAGACCGACACTTTCACATGGAACAGCCAAAGGGATCAGGAGCTTTGAAACAAGAAATCATCAAACCAATCTTCAAACATGCTTGCACTGCTTACTTTGACATGTGCCGCTTTGGTTTAAGACTTCCCAAAACCAACAGGTTTCTGAGAAAGAGCAGCGTTCTTGTCACCACCTCTCAGCCGATGTTTGAAACTTTAGATGGTCAAAGATGTCCACAGAACCATAGCCATCAGCGCATTGAGGGAAGTTTTCAACACGATGGAATGAGTACGAAGATGACTCATTTCTGCGCGTCTTACTGCCAGGGCTTTGCGAAGACTGTAGCCAAGTTTTTGTGCCAACTGAATCACAGTCACTGGAATTCTCAAGATGCCATGGTGCATGATTTGGATATCGATGAACCACCTGCCAAACGCATCCGTTTCAGTTTCAACATGTCCAAGCATAGAAAGACCGGTCATTCCATTGACCTTGACCCAGATCAGAGACAAGCTCCGAAACCCATGCCTGAAAACCCAGGTGAGACGTTGTCCAAAGAGGTTGGTAACAACATGAGTCCATGGTTTGATGTCCTTCAGCTGGCACAAAAGAATGCACCACGGGTAGGAAACACGCGATGTTCAGCAGATTCGGAGTTGTTTCTCATGGCCAAACCACTCCTGGATGACATGGTTTTGGAGAGTTTGTTTATTTGCAGAGGAACGGAACGATTTCAGGTTCCTGTTCAGGCTCCCGCTTCACATGCATGTCCTCTTAGACGTACTGTTTGTGTTCACCGACAAACCAATGAAGTTCATGACCTAGGAACCGAAGACTGGCATTGCATGACACGAGCCAAGAGGATACGGAACAGTTTACCAAGCAAGATCACGATCACCATGTTTGGGTCAAAGAAGACGGACGAATCTGCCCCTGTTGAACTTCCTGAGTCGAGCCGAGATGGCACAAACCTGGTCTCACGAACCGGGACACTGCCAAGTGATGAACGACCTTCAGCCATCCGAGTGAGTCACGAAAGTCAGTTGCCATCAAGCGTAACTGAGCGGACTCCGAATCAAGTATGTGAAGGTTGGGCACCTCCACCAATAGCCCTTCACGGACCCAAATTCAGATTACTGAGTGATGTTGAAAAGAGTGACTTGATAAAAGTACACAAGAACCTGGGTCATCCGGATCCTACACAGCTAGCTGCTCACCTTCAACAGTTAGGAGCTAATCCTAAAATAATTGAAGCTGCTCGAGAGTTCGTGTGTGATGCTTGTGTGGAGTCAAGTGCATTCCGACATCAACGTCCCGCACAGCTGCATGATGCTGCTGAGTTTAATGATACTGTTGGCATCGATGGCTTCTTTTGGACTGGGAGAGCCGGTTTTCAGGTCATGGTTTTTCACTGTATCGATGAGGCATCTTTATTTCACCTTGGTCGCCGTTTGGAGAACAGAAATTTAGAACATGTTATTCCGGCTCTATCAGACATGTGGCTATCATGGGCCGGCAGCCCTGCCAACTTGTACTCTGACCCAGCCGGTGAGTTTGTGTCTGACCAATGGCTCAGTTTCTTGCAGAGCCATAGTATTTCTCCAAAACTTTCCACTGAGTCTTGGCAGAAAGGCAGGGTGGAGCGACATGGTGCCCTAGTGAAAGAAATGCTCAAAAGATATGACATGGAGAAAACCATACAATCCGTCCAAGAGTTTGACACTGTTCTCAGAGCCTGCTTTCAAGCCAAAAATGCACTCAGTAGACACCGTGGCTATTCACCTGAACAGATTGTCCTAGGCAAAGCTACTCGCTTACCTGCCTCACTGTCCTCAGATGAAACACTCGGCTCCCACTGCATGGCCGCTGGAGAAGACCTGGAGAGCGAAAGGTTTAGACAACAGCTAGAGATAAGAACACTTGCACGTAAAGCCTTCTTGACATCTGATAACAATGAAGCTATCAGAAGAGCCCTTCTCCGCAGATCATGTCCAGTTCGAGGTCCATTTGAGGCAGGTCAACAGGTGATGTACTGGAGAAAAATGAATAGAGCCAATAGACGAGAAGGGGGTCGCTGGCATGGCCCCGCACGAGTGGTAAGTCAACAAGGGTCTTCAACAAGATGGATTGCTCATGCTCACAGACTCCTGAAGTGCGCACCAGAAAGTCTCAGGCCTGCTTCACTGCGAGAATGGCATGGAAACATGGAACCGCTTTCACAGATGTTGCCACAAACTTCCGAAACCCAACAATCTTCACACCAACCACATGCTCAGTCTGAAATGCCAGAAACCATGGAATATTCACCGGGTACCCCAATAAGTAATTTACCTTCTCCACATAGCCACCACACAAGTATCCAACCAGAAAGTGAAGCGTTTCCTGAAGTACCTGAGCATGGGTCGCAACAGGCGACATCGGAACAATCCGACGGTGATACCGATCTGCCAGCCACGACTGAGGCTGAATTTCTGGAACCACCCAACACTTCCGCACAGGACCCACCAATTGATTTGGATGACATAGATGATGATCTTCTGTGTGAAAGGGTTCTCTGGTGTAGCGACGTTCCAGACCAAAATCCATATGATGAGCCTCTCCATGAATGGATGTGTTTCCAACCTGGGGATCAACAAAATGAGGTTTGTCTTGCCGATGATGACATGCCTATGATAGAAAATCCTCTCGAACCTAATGATGAACAATGTTACATGCTGGAGGTTCCTATGTCAAGATATGGCTACGTGTTTCCTTGGGATGTTGGCTGACTTTTGTGCCTTTGCGACGCTTTGGATTTTTGTGGCCTGCTGTGGATTTCTTGTCCTTCGTCCCCTCTGCCCAGTCATGGTGGGGTACAGTAACAGTAGCCCCAAAATAAGACCTAAGCCCTTTAGGAAACCGGTGCGAGTTGCCATGGTGCTGTGCCTTCTGGTTAGCCAGACCTGTCAGGTCGCTGCAATGAACATGCACCCTACAACTGAGGTCGAACGACAGCGAATGACAAGGAGGGAAGGAAACCATCTGGTGGCCACGAGAGCAATCAAGAAGCAGACCAGGGACAAGCGATCAACGTATTTGGATTGGTTTCGACGCTGGCTGTGGGATCAAAAGCAGGTTTCCTTCAAGTTCCTCATTGACCAAAAGCCACCAGACCCTGAAAAGCTGGCCTCCCTCCTGGTTGAGTATGGCAAGGAACTCTACAGATCGGGGAAGGCCTATGGGGTCTACGCCGAAACAATCAACTCAGTTGCAGTTCAGCGACCGCTGATCAGGCGCCAATTGATGTCGGCGTGGGACCTGGCTTTCGCATGGCTGGCTGACGAACCTCATGCCCACCATCCGGCCATGCCCTTGTCTTTGATGGCCGCAATGGTGGTGGTGGCATTACAATGGGGATGGCCATATGAGGCTGCGGTCATCCTCATGGCTTGGACTGGTGTGATGAGAATTGGGGAAGTCCTGGCAGCAAAACGCCGGGACTTGATACTGCCCTGTGAAGCCGCTCCAGGCACCTCCTTCATGCTGATTATTGTGCATCAGCCGAAGACTCGGGGCAGAGCTGCGAATCACCAAGCAGCTCGTATCGACCAGGAAGATGTGATACGTTTTCTTTCTGCAATGTATCGAGATGCCCCTGGAGACTCAGCTGTATGGCCCCATTCCGCAGCAACCCTACGAAAGAGGTTTGGTCACCTCCTTCGAGCGCTGGAGCTGCCGACGTCAAAAGCAGGTGGTCATCACCCTTTTGATTTGGGGTCAATGAGGCCTGGAGGAGCGACATGGCTCCTTCATCAAACAGAAAACCCAGAATACGTACGCCGTCGAGGCAGATGGCTGAGCTCCAGAGTATTGGAAGTATACATCCAGGAAGTTCTGGTCACAACCTTCATTGAACGACTTTCGCCTAGAACCAGATTTTTAATCGAACTCTGCTCAGGGGATTTTGCTGTCACTGTCGAGCGCTCAATAGCTTTTCTTGACAGCGGCATTCCCCCTCCAGTGTGGTTCAACCTCTTCAAGACTGCAGCAGCCTTTCCTACGAAGAAAGACGGAAAAGATGGAAAAGGTGGTGAGAAAACATGCCAGGATTGGAACAACTCCAACCTTGGGCCTGATGATGAACCATCCCAGCAGAAGAGCAAAAAGTTTGAGGGCGCTATTCCTGTCCACAGGAAAGCAACTGATGGCTTTGCGCGGGGCTCAGGCCTCCCACCTCGCCCGCCACGGCTGCAGTTTGAAGGGTGGTGAGAAAACATGCCAGGATTGGAACAACTCCAACCTTGGGCCTGATGATGAACCATCCCAGCAGAAGAGCAAAAAGTTTGAGGGCGCTATTCCTATATAATATTATATACATAAGCTTCTGAAGCTTTTGAGAACCAGGCTTTGGGCCCTAAGCTTCAGATTTTCTGTTGGACATTTCGTATTTTGGACACACAACTTGGAAAGACCTTCCAAATCCATTATGTATCCATCATCGTGTTTGATCAATCATCATCATTTTTTCAATGCCTTGGCTTGTGGGACAAACACAGAGGAAACAACGGTGTCTACCTCAAATCTAGAAGAACATTCAACCTGCTGGTTGAATGTCAACATGTTTTTTGTTTTCAATATTTTCAATGTTCACCAAAAATTCTTGGAACATTTTCAGACCCAAATTTTCCCATCGCCATTTCCCCATCGATCCCCAGATCTCCTGTGATGGCACAAGCTTCACCGTGAACTCCGGTGACACCTGCTCCAAGTACCAAGCCGTCCCTGGGAATCCCTTGGAGTCTACGGTGTCCGGATTCGAAACAAAAACCTGTGGAGATGGGACGTTTTTAAACCATCTTCAGATGGTGAGATTTTGTTGAGATATGATGGTTGAGCAGGACTTAACCATTCAACATGTCGGTTTTAACGGTTGAAAGTGTGATCTGACTATGAAAAACCGATGATGAAAGAGACATAAAACGCGTGATTCTTGCAACAATATCGGGGATTGAGCCATCAATCGGGTGGCTTTGCCCGAAAGTTCAGCACCTCAAGTTATGGACATCGAGAAAACTATGAGAACAGGGTGATTCACCAGTGACTTTTTTTGGGGGTGCCCTATTTTCAGAGCCAAAGAACATCAAAAACATGTTGGGATGATCCCCAAAGTTTGGCGAACAGTCTGTCTCGGTACCTGAGGCCTGTGCAGGCGTGTGGTTCTTTTGCTGTGACAAGGCGGGGAGTTTTTCATGGACGAAGATCAGCAAGACAACTTGGGATATCGGGTGGGGATGAAGATGTTTGTCTGAAAGGATACTCCATGAAAAAACAAGATGCAGCACACGAACCCGAATGCTCATACGTATGTTAATGGTACAGATGTCGAAACACATGGCTATGCAGTCACGCAGAACACATTTCTGCAATAGTTTATTTGAACAGTCTTGTACATCTTTCCCCTGTTACCAGTCTGCAGTGTGGAGTGGAAACTGTAGAGTGTGGAGTGTGGAGTGTGGAGTGCAAAGTAAGGAGTGTGGAGTGTAAAGTGTGGAGTGGGGAGTGTAGAGTGTGTAAAATGTAGAGTGTGGAGTGTGGAGTGTAGAATGTAAAGTGTAGAGTGTGAAGTGTAGAGTGTGGAGTGTGGAGTGTGGAGTGTAACTTGTAGAGTGTGGAGTGTGGAGTGTCGAGTGTGGAATGTGGAGTGAGAAGTGTAAAGTGTGGAGTGAGGAGTGTACAGTGTAAAGTTTAAAGTGTGGAGTGTAGAGTGTAGAGTGTAAAGTGTGAAGTGTAAAGTGTAGAGTGTCAAGTGTAGAGTGTGGAGTGTGGAGTGGAAAGTGTAGAGGGTGGAGTGTGGATTGTAAAGTAAGGAGTGTGGAGTGTCAAGAGTGGAGTGGGGAGTGTAGAGTGTGTAAAGTGTAGAGTGTGGAGTGTGGAGTGTCGAGTGTAAAGTGTAGAGTGTAAAGTGTAGAGTGTGGAGTGTGGAGTGTAAACTGTAGAGTGTGGAGTGTGAAGTGGAAAGTGTAGAGTGTGGAGTGTGGAGTGCGGAGTGTAAAGTAAGGAGTGTGGAGTGTAAACTGTGGAGTGTCGAGTGTAAAGTGTGGAGTGTGGAGTGAGGAGTGTGGTGTGTGTAGAGTGTAGAGTGTGGTGGAGTGTGGAGTGTGGAGTGTAGAGTGTGGAGTGTAGAGTGTAAAGTGTAGAGCGTGGAGTGTGGAGTGTAGAGTGTGGAGTGAGGAGTGTAAAGTGGAAAACGTGGAGTGTAAAGTGTCAAGTGTGAGGTGTAGAGTGTAGAATGTAAAGTGTAGAGTGTAAAGTGTAGAGTGTGGAGTGTAAAGTGTGGAGTGTGGAGTGTAAAGTGTGGAGTGAGGAGTAAAAAGTGCAAAGTGTAAAGTGTGGAATGTAAAGTGTAGAGTGTGGAGTGAGGAGTGTAAAGTGTAGAGTGTGGAGTGTGGAGTGTAAAGTGTAGAGTGTAGAGTGTGGTGGGGTGTGGGGTGTGGAGTGTGGAGTGTAAAGTGAGGATTGTGGAGTGTAAAGTGTGGAGTGAGGAGTATGCAGTGTGTAAATGTAGAGTGTGGAGTGTGGAGTGTAGAGTGTAAAGTGTAGAGTGTAAAGTGTAGAGTGTGGAGTGTGGAGTGTAAAGTGTAGAGAGTGAAGTGTAGAGTGTGGAGTGAGGAGTGCAACGGGTAGAGTGTGGAGTGTAAAATGTAAAGTGTGGAGTGTAGAGTGTAGAATGTAAAGTGTAGAGTGTGGAGTGTGGAGTGTGGAGTGTAAAGTGTGGAGTGAGGAGTGTAAAGTGTGGAGTGTAAAGTACAAAGTGTGAAGTGTGGAGTGTAAAGTGTAGGTGTTTGGAGTGTAAAGTGTAGAGTGTGGAATTTGGAGTGGAAAGAGTAGAGTGTGGAGTGTGGAGCGTGGAGTGTAAAGTGAGAAGTGTGGAGTGTAAAGGGTGGAGTGCAAAGTGTAGAGTGTGGAGTGAGGAGTGTGGAGTGTGTAAAGTGTAGAGTGTGGTGGAGTGTGGAGTGTGGGGTGTAGAGTGTGGAGTGTGGAGTGTAGAGTGTGGAGTGTAGAGTGTGGAGGGTAGAGTGTGGAGTGCAAAGTGTAGAGTGTAAAGTGTGGAGTGCAAAGTGTAGAGTGTGGAGTGAGGAGTGTGGAGTGTGTAAAGTGTAGAGTGTGATGGAGTGTGGGGTGTGGAGTGTAGAGTGTGGAGTGTAGAGTGTGGAGTAAAGTGTAGATTGTAAAGTGTGGAGTGCATTGTTGCGCCAGCCACACAAAAGAAGTTTCGACACGACACGGTATAAAACAGGTTCGAATGTCACAAAGTGCCACGCCTGCGACGCAAAACAGCACCTCCAAAAAGGAGAGGTTTGCAGCTTCCCCCATAGACACGGCGACGCCACAGGAAAACCAGAGACAGACACGTGGGCGCAGAAAAACGAGCATTTCATACAAAACTTTCTCCAACTTTGACACTTCCGACCCGTGATCAAACAGGTTGGAATGTCACAAAGTGCCACGCCTGCCACGCAAAACGACATGACAACTTGCTTGAGACTCGAGACGAGACACGCGGGAGCAGCAAAACGAGCCTTCCTCCAATTTTGACACTTTGTAGCATCAAAATCGACGTTTTCCTACAAGTTTTCTTAGGAACCTCTAAATTTGCTACCTCAAAATCGATGTTTCGTGCGAGGCTTCCGTCAATTTTCAGCACATCTCACAAAATGCCACGCTTACCACGGAATCTGCACCTTGTCGCCACTTGACGCAGCCCTGCCAATGCGATTTGCAAAAAACACGCCGCACGACACGTCTAAAGCGCAGCGCCTGCCACGCAAAATGACGATGGACACATCCAAAGTGCTGCGCCTGCCACGAAAACTGCAACGCATCTTCTGAAAACATCTCAAAAATATTGCGCCTGCCACACAAAACCATTTTCGACACGTTACCAAACACGTCTGAATGTCACGAAGTGCCACGCCTGCCACGCGAAACGAAGCAACGAGACGTTTGAAGCCTCCAAAAATGACACCTTCTGGAAAACTTACTATAGGCACGCACGGCCATATGGCAATGACGCGGACCGTTGCCAACGGTTGCAGACGGTTACGGACGGTTGCGAACGGTTGCGTATGGTTGGGCAAAGTCGAGCGAACACACCCTCAACCCCCGAGTGAAACGGGAACCCTTGCTACGCATTCGGGAAAAAGTGAACTCTGAAATGACAACTGTGGAATGTAAAGTGTGAAGTGTCAAGTGTGGAGTGTAGAGTGTGGAGTGTGGAGTGTACAGTGTCGAGTGTGGAGTGTCAAGTGTAGAGTGTAAAGTGTAGAGTGTAAAGTGTGGAAAGGTGTGGCAAAGTGTGGAGTGTAGGGTGTGGAGTGTGGAGTGTCAAGTGTAAAGTGTCGAGTGTGAAGTGTAAAGTGTAGAGTATAAAGTGTAGAGTGTGAAGTATGGAGTGTAAAGAATTTGCACCATTGACGCAGCCCTGCCAATGCGATTTGCAATACACACGCAACACGACACGTCTAAAGTGCTGCGCCTGCCACGCAAAATGACGATGGACACGTCCAAAGTGCTGCGCCACTTGCCACAAAAACTGCAAGTCATCTTGTGAAAACGTCGGAAAAGTATTGCGCCCACGACTTTCGACACGTTATCAAACAAGTTGGAATGTGACAAAGTGCCGCGTTTGCCACGCAAACAGCGCTACAACTTGCTTGGAAACCTCCAAAAAGGAGAGGTTTTGCAGCTTCCCCCATAGACACGGCAAAGCAACAGGAAAACCAGAGACTCGAGACGAGACACGTGGGCGCAGAAAAACGAGCATTTCGCGCGAGACTTCCTCCAATTTTGGCACTTTCGACGCGGTATCAAACAAGTTGGAATGTCAAAAAGTGCCGCGTTTGCCACGCAAAACAGCACTACAACCTGCTTGGAAACCTCCAAAAAGGAGATGTTTTGCAGCTTCCCCCATAGACACGGCAAAGCAACAGGAAAACCAGAGACTCGAGACGAGACACGTGGCAGCGTCAAAACCAGCAATTAGTGCGAGACTTCTGCCAATTTTCACAGTTGCAAACCTTCCACAAGGAGAGGTTTTGCAGCTTCCCCCATAGACCGGGCAACGCCACAGAAAAACCAGAGACTCGAGACGCGTGGGAGCAGCAAAACGAGCCTTCCTCCAATTTTGACACTTTGTAGCATCAAAATCGACGTTTTCCTACGAGTTTTCTTAGGAACCTCTAAATTTGCTACCTCAAAATCGATGTTTCGTGCGAGGCTTCCGTCAATTTTCAGCACATCTCACAAAATGCCACGCTTACCATGGAATCTGCACCTTGTCGCCACTTGACGCAGCCCTGCCAATGCGATTTGCAAAAACACGCCGCACGACACGTCTAAAGCGCAGCGCCTGCCACGCAAAATGACGATGGACACATCCAAAGTGCTGCGCCTGCCACGAAAACTGCAACGCATCTTCTGAAAACATCTCAAAAGTATTGCGCCTGCCACACAAAACCATTTTCGACACGTTACCAAACACGTCTGAATGTCACGAAGTGCCACGCCTGCCACGCGAAACGAAGCAACGAGACGTTTGAAGCCTCCAAAAATGACGCCTTCTGGAGAACTTACTATAAGCACGGCCATATAGCAATCGCGCGGACTGTTGCGAACGGTTGCGAATGGTTACGGACGGTTGCGAGCGGTTGCGAACGGTTGCGGACGGTTGCGGACGTAAACGCAGCGTCGAGCGAACACACCCCCAGCCTCCAGACCCCCAGAGTGAAACGGGAACCCTTGCTACGCATTCAGGAAAAACCATGGGCGTATCATCTGTTTCCGTTTATCTTATGGTTATCTTGTGGAAATACCGAACGCACCCAAGTGGGGTCCCTGCGAAGGCTGGCCAAACGTGTTCCAAAGACAAGAGCATCCTCTACGCCAAGGACGATGGGGCTGGTGTCGACTTGGAGCAATGGCCGTGTCCAGAAATATGGCCTTGATCTCACATGGGGCACTCCCAACCCCAATTTTCATATACAAGGGTGTAGCATTTTCCCATTCACCATTTTTACAGGTGGTTTAAACCATTCCCAAATGGTTGGTGTATGATTGTTTTACCCACATGAACGCCATGAAATGGGGGGGTTAAAAAAACCCATTTCAGACATATCCAGTCGTAGAACTACGGTGCATGTGCGATGATCTACTGAGAGTTGTAATTGCCACAATATGTACAACAGTTCTTACTATTGGATATATCTACGTGTACATGTACTATATAAAACATATATGTACTATATGGGAAAGTATGGGCTATAATATATATATTATATACACATATCTATATTGATTCAAGATTTGTTAAGTTTTACCTGAATCATATCTTATTATCCATACATCTAGGTGTCTCCACATATAAATTTTGCCAATCTGAATCAAGGGTGATGGACCAGGACACCTGTTGGGCATCTTACGGCAAATCCTGCGATGACGGTCCGCAGCCGGGTCCAGACCCGAAGCCCACCATGGAACCCGGAACTCTGCAACTCGGCAGGAGATGGCTGATTTAGAATTGTATATATATATGATAATTATCAGTAATATATGATCATTTGTATAAATCGGTGACAACTGATATTGTTATCTATTGAATATACAGGATTAACATAGTACTGTAGTCATAAAATGTAATATGAATTGGGACTATTGTCATAGTATTTTCTATCCAAGTGATATCATAGATAAAATTGCTACTTTAAGTCAGTTTTGAAGTGATGTTTATCCGTATTATTGTTATTGTTATTGTTCCTACCATTGTATGATGATCTTGATCATCTGAAGAAAAACCGTAACGTGGGGATGGCTCAAGCTGAAGGGAGAAGGCTCCCAGGTTATTGAACTGATGTGAACTAATGTTCGGAAATGAATTATGATTTTGGATGAAGAAAGGTGGCAACTCCTTTTGACACATTGAAACCTGATGTTGATGATTGTGAATTTTGGATAATTTGAATGAAAGGTGATCAGGTGATCCACGTTCAGAACTATCTCCACGAGTGAATCAAAAGGTAGATTATTTTTGCCAAGAGATGGCTGTGAACTGGAGCTCCAAGCTCCAACATCGAAAAGATACTGTGGCCGAAAAAGGAACATGTGGCCAAGATGGGGGGAACATGTCTAAGAATGGGAATATCATCAATCAGATGACTAACAATTGCTTTCCGAAGATTTTCTCCTCCGCTATGTTCTAAACAGTTGACTCCCCCCGAGATCAAATGACGACACCTTCCCGCGAGGAAAGTGGGCAATTGGATCAAGACCTGGAAAACCAATTTGAGCCCTGGCGAAAGCACTGGTGATCCAACTGCAGATGAACAGGACATCTAATGACTTACCGGTCCTTACTAGGGAATGGATAGGTTGCTGGGGGTTGCTGGGATGATTCTTACTAGTGATTATGGATCATTCCCTCATTCCCTGCTATGCACCAGTAAGAATCTAATGATGATGAAAAAAATGAAGTAACAAGATTTGGGACTCTCCAATAACTCGACATTCCTTGGGTGCCCGACACCAAAAACCACGATTCCAGCTTGATGGCCCAAGGGCGATGCAACATTTGACTACAGTGTGTAGCGCATCAATTCTGACCTATATGTCCCCAGAAATATACATATATATATATATATGTATACGTATATATATATATAGTATATATATATATATAGTATATATATATATACGTATATACATATATGTATATGGTTGGTTTCAAAGATGTTCCACATTTTCAGCCCATAGGCACTTTCCCAAGGCTGACTCCGGAGCCTTTAGAAGTCGTGATTTGCTTCTCGGGATGGGTGCCTTGGGCTGCACAGTGATGGGGCTTTCCCCATGGGAAATCCATGGGAAAAAACCCAATTTATCACTTTTTTTTCCGGCATTTCCATCCAATCATGGATGGTTCTTCATGCTTTTATGATCATTTTTTCGTAAGATCTTAGTAAAGCACCAAAAAAGCAGTGGTTCATCATTGTAAAGGGTGAATCCCATGGGTGATCATAACTAAATCACGGTAATTCCAGCAATTTTTGGAGAAGATCATTGTCCCAATGTCTACCAGTCTACCAATGTCGTTTAGGTTATATCCGATTCATAGCCACAATATAATTTTCTATGGCGATTTTTTCACTCATTTTTCTCTAATCCCGAACAGGGAAGAGATCACACAGATCCCAGTCATTGTACAATATTAATATCATTTTATAATAGAACCTTGATTGTTGCTGATTATTGCTTATCACACATTTCTTTTAAAGCCTTCGAATATCTTTGAAACTATTGGCATGATCTCCTGGTTGTTTTTCTCTAAAACTGGTGATCTAATTCAAGTCTTGTTAGCCATGTCACTATGATTCTTGGCAAAACATCTCAATGATATCCCAAGAAAGCGAACATGCAACGGAACATTAAAATCACGGAGTTCATTTTGGGAATTCAGGGCTATCAATATATACATAACTACCATGTACTGTACTCGCTGAAATCTCACTATTTGTTGCTTAAATCCTATCTACAACTTGTTGTTTATTATCTCCATCTGTGTCAAAATCACAAAAACTTCATCCGTGAATCCAAACATATTTCTTGGTACAAGGTGAGGACCACCAGTTATAAGTTGGTTTGTAAATCCATTTTCACATACCCTCTGGTAAACGTTTACATAACTATGGAAAGATCCACCATTTTAGAGCTGGGTAAATCCACTATTTCTATGGCCATTTTCAATAGCTTTTTGTATGTTTACCAGGCCGGGTATATCAAGGGTGGTAAACCTCCCCAACTTATAGACCCAAGCGTTCACCAAGGCCAAGCTCTCAACAGCCTTGGACGAGTGCAAGCGCGTCAAGGGATCAATGCCCGCGGGACCACTGTGGTTTCTCGGATTCAAAAGTGGTGGAGTACGATGTTCACAGCAAGACGGGATGGATATCATGATGTTTGGTGATAGGGATTTGTTGTACTAGGGATTGATATACGCGTATATATGTATATATATATATCATAAAATAACATAATACAATATAATATAACATAACATAACATAATACTATATGATATAATATTACATTGCAAAATACAATATGGTATGACAAAACGTAACATATATCATTTCATAACATAACATGACACAATATAATAAGGTATAATACAACATATCATAATACAATATAATATAACATAACATAATACAATATAATATAACATAACATAATACAATATAATATAACATAACATAATACAATATAATATAACATAACAAATCATGATACAATATAATATAACAAAACATAATATCATATAATTTAATATAACACAACACAATATAATATAACAAAACATAATACAATACAACATAGCAAATCATAACATAATACAATATAATATAACATAACATCATACAATATAATACAACGAAACACAACTTAATAGAATTTAATATAACATAACACAATATAACTTAACATAATATACTATAATAAAATATAGCACAATATCTTATAACATAACATAACATAACAAAATATACAGTAATTTAGCATAACACACCATAATACAATATAATACAACATAACATAACACAATATAATATAATATGATATAACATAAAATAATTCAATGTAATATAAAATGCCATAACACAATACAATACAGTATAAGATAACATAACATAATACAATTTAATTTAGCATAACATAACAAAATAAAATATAACATAACTAACAAAATACAATATAACAAAACATAACATAACATGATACAATATGATATAACATCACATAACATAAAAAACAATATGAGTTACCATAACAAAACATAATATAATATAACATAGCATAATGTAATTTTAATGTTACATAATATAAAATAATATACCATAACATGATTTTATTTAATATAACAAAACATAACATAATTTAATATAATATTATATCACAAACCAAAACATAATACAATATCATATAACATAACATAACATAACATAATATACTCTAATATAGCATAACAAACCGTAATATAATATGACATGATAAAACAAAATATCATATAATATAACAAAACATAGTATCATTTAATTTAACATAACATAACATAATACAATATAATATAACATAACATAATACAATATAATAAAACGTAACATAACATAATATAATATAACATAACAAATCATGATACAATATAATATAACAAAACATAATATCATATAATTTAATATAACACAACACAATATAATATAACAAAACATAATACAATACAACATAGCAAATCATAACATGATACAATATAATATAACATAACGTAATATAATACAACATCACATAACATAATACAATTTAATATTACATGACATAACATAATACAACTTAATATTACATGACATAACATAATTTAATATAATATAATTTAATATAACATAACACAATAATGGATGTCATGTTTTTTGGTGATAGGGATTTGTTGTACTAGGGATTGATATACGCGTATGAATACAATATAGTATAATATAGTAGAATATAGTATAATATAAAATAATTTGACATAATATAATATAACATAATATAATATACTATCATATAATATCATATAAAATAAAAAATATATAATATAATATAATATCATATAATTTCATATATAATATAAAATATAATAAACTATAATATAATATACTTTCATATATAATATAAAATATGATATGACATGATAAAATATAATATGACATAATGTAATATAATATCATATGCTTTCATATAATATAGTATAATATAATATAATATAATTTAATATAATAAAATATAATATAATATACTTTCATATATAATATAAAATATGATATGACATGATAAAATATAATATGACATAATATAATATAATATCATATGCTTTCATATAATATAGTATAATATAATATAATTTAATATAATAAAATATAATATATTTGCCTTGATGAGGCAGTGATTTTTCGCAGACCCTAGGATCTTCGCATAGTCCTCGGACCAGTGATGAATCCCGTGGCTTCATCATCAGATGTGTCGGTTTACCACCCTTGATATACCCGGCCTGGTAAACATACAAAAAACTATTGAAAATGGCCATAGAAATAGTGGATTTACCCAGCTATAAAATGGTGGATCTTTCCATAGCTATGTCAGTTTACCAGAGGGTATTGGCGATTATCATTATACATTATGGATAACCGACCATTCAACTATCATAAGGGGTTTTCCAACAGGTTTTTGACACTCATTGTGTGGATGTAGATCAGACATCGGTTTTTTTTATGCCCGAAAATTGGTGGCAACCAAATTGGCATTGCCATTTTTGTGAAACGATGAGGATTGCCATTTTTTCCTTCGCACCCCATTTGTTGGAGGCATCACCATGGTCGGGGCGTGGGATTTGCTCAGGCTGTCGATTGGTGGTGGAAACTGCAACTTGGACTGTTGACCCAACCCACTGAAACTATTTCCATTTCATGAGGCAAACTCTCCCCGGGGCATCCCAAAATTGTTCTTGGGCTGCAAACAAGCATGACTGAAGATGCAATCTCCATTTTTTTTTTCAAACAAATTCGAGTTCTAACTCCTAGTTTAATGGTGACTTCTATCATCAGCTACAAGTAAATGAATGAATCCTCGAAATTTCCCACATTTCCATGTGGTCATCTTCACTACGTCCAGCCGTCCAGCTGCCTTTGGTGGATCCATGGCTAATCCCCTAAATCGATCAGCCTGAAGCAGCAATCTCACCGGTGAAGTAAGTAGGGCATCATGCCATTCCCCCATTCCTAGCAGTAGCCGCCGAGCCTCTGTTCAAAGAGGTGACGCAGGGAGTGGTGGAAGCGTAGCCTGGTCTCAAGAGATCCTCCAGGATTTCTTGGACAACATTGGAAAGGTGGATCTTAGCAGCTATAAAGGTGCCCCGAAAAAAGGGCAGGAAAAGGTGGGTGAAATCCTTTAGATTTTGGATGTGAACTATTTGATAACGACATTCTGATGATAATTGACTATTATAAATTTGCGTGACTACAAGAGTTCAAGAATATGGCTATAGCTTTGTTTGGGGGATTTTGAACTGAGACTGTTCACATGGTTGGCCCAACATGGGAAAAAAACATCTACGGAACCGTGCTTTGCACAGTGCTTTTGAAGCCAGGGATGAGTTCACGCGCATTGAAATGCCACTGAAGCTGGATTGGCTTCCCGAGCCCATAAACACAGTTGTGATTTACCATGGATTCGTTTTTGGGTTTCTCTGCGAGTAGGGTATATCCAGAATTCGTATGGGTTATCATTATCATCATAATTTTTATCAGCTTGCCATGAATTGTTTTTTTTTTTTCTTTTTTTTGTCTCCCCGTTTTTTTTCTCGCATTTTTGGACATTGTGGGTTCATGGTGGTACGATGTGGTACGACTCGCTTCTAAAGTTCACATGGAAGCTGGGTGAAAAAGGTTGCTGATATCGTTCAAGGCATGAAACGATGGGATGTAAAATCATTTTTTTTTACATATTGGATACCATTAACATCCATTAACAGTGTTGATTTTAGGGATGTTTTTATGTTGATGGCATCCCTGGCACCATGATATGGTCATGGTCAAGGCAACCTTCGCAGGATATCGCCCATTTTTCAGCCGCTGTGCTTCTTCCTGTTTGAGGCATTGCTCTTGGAATTGTTGTTTCAATAAAGATATCCCAACGAGTAATTTTCTATAGGAGCCTTGTTACCCTTCAAGCTTTCACCAACTTTTTTTGGCCAGTGTATATGAATTTGTATGATAGGTTCATCCCTTACAATTTTGTTGGTTCCAAGTTCCACTGTCCTTTTGTTCTTCGCCATCCATATCAGATTATATCAGATTATCATATAATCATGGATTTGCTATGATTTGTAATAACAGTATAATGAATCATAATCTGATATGATAATCATAGGACATGAATCCGTTTGTTTTTTCCCTCTACTATGATTTGTTTAGATTCATGTCCTTATTGAATCGGGACTGGATCCCTAAGTCAGCCAGGCTTAGACGCCCTGGGCCCTTTTTTTCGCCCATGGCAATCTTTCAGATTTTCCAGCTTAGATTACCAGAGAGTAAAACATATACACTTCCTGTCCCCAAAATGAAAATCTTTAAATATGCCCTGCTACTGTAGGGGGGTTGGAAAATGATTTTCCAGACTTGATCTGGTGAGATGATCGATCAACTGATAGATGGTACCCTAATAGCTGGATGGTTTATTTCATGGCACATCCCAATCTAATAGCTGTATGATGACTGGGGGTAGCCACATGACTCGAAAAACCACCATTTTTGGAGAACACATCTCCCAACTATCGTTTCCCAAAATTCACCGTGCCGCCATCGGCGAATCGAGGTGTCATGTTCGATCTGGAGACCAATAGTGGCGGCTGTAGGGCTGCCATCGCCGCCGGCCGGTCTTCGGCATGTGGTGCCAGCAGCGGCACTGACTACGGCACGTCACCCTCAGCGGACATGTTCGTGTGGCGCGACGGCGACGGTGGGATGGGGAACATGGGGAAAAAACATGGAAAAAAACAAAATAAAAAGCGTGGGGATAATTTGGAGGATTGAATCGATCCCCAGTTGATGAGTTTTTTGGGATATCCGGGAATCCGGGATACGTGGTTTTTCATGAATCGATTGGTTGAATCAATGGGTTGATGGCTGAATTCACCAAGCGGTTTTCTAAACATCCATGGCTGAAAGGGTTTAGTATTGGATCTATTCATCGGGCTTCCCTATCTTTAGAGGGTGTTGTGAAAATATGATATTGACATATTGTTTCTGTATGTATATATATATATATATGTATGTATATATGTATATACATAGTATATAGATATAGATATCCCGGATATCCCATGCCAGGATTGCTACAGGAACCATCCCATGAACGCTGAGCGTGCATCTCCGAGGCAAGCATACAAAGCGGTCCAGGCACCGGGCGAGATGTCAGCCACTGGCTGATACCAAGTGATATATAGATAGATAGCAATCCCCAAAAAAAGATAGAACAGTCATTTACCAGGTCTTTTAAGTAGCAATTATATACTCTTATATGTTTTTTTTTGGTTGCTATACATACGTAGTTGATTTGTCATGATTTTAGTCATTTTTATTGGTCCTGGATTGGTCTGAATCTGACTGTAACTATCATACATACCATAGCACTGGTAATGAATAGATAGCTCAGCCCAATAACTATCATACCATAGATAACTGGATAGATACCATACCATAGATAACTAAATCATACCATAGATAAGTGGATAGATACCATACCATAGATAACTATCATCTCATTAGTCCTTAGAAACACCAGATGTTGACCCTGGATGATCCAGGCGCTTGGAAAAGGTGTGGCTGTAAGCTGGTCCTATCAGATGCCCTACTGCATGGACAACTCTGCTGAGATCGTGAACACTGCGCCACTTGGAGCAACACGGGGCCTGGGGGTGACAGAAACTTTTGAAACGCAACGTCTGAGAGATACCATCTTGTTATGAATAACATCTATAAATGGGCCATTTTTTAATAGGTAAACCATCGAACTAAATGGGCCATTTTCCATGGCTACGTTAAATAACAAGAGGGTATGTGTTTTTTTACAGGTAGAAATGATCTGAGCCTTGTTTTATCGACTTTCTGAGCAGCAAACGCATGAGATCACAAGGAGAAAAACACCAGATTCGCACTGCAAACTGTAACTCTAGGCAAGCCATTCTCATCTTTGATACGTACCCGTACCACCATATTTCTGTGTATATGTATATCTTATATATTCTTATATGTATATTTAAGTATCAATCCCAATATTAGGCTAGTTCCTATCTTCCCATTTCAGACATTTTCGACGATGATTTCATCAAGCAGATCCCATACATTCCAGCTTCTCGGATCTTGGATCCCATGGGTTCGGCGGAGGATTCACAATGATGCGGTGAAATACGTGAGCCCACAGATGTATCAAGGCCGACGCCAAAAAAGAATGCCACGTCTACGTATCAAACCTGGGTTTGTGTGAAAATGAGGCTAATATTAGCAAATGCCAATCAATGACCATCCAATTTATGTCCGATTTTTCCAGAATTTGGGGTTCCCTATTTTCAGTCAAAGCCCAAAATCAATGACAGTCCGCGGCCAATCCAACCTGGCATTCGACAAGAGACAGGCAGATGAATATGAAACCCTCTGGCACTAAAAAAGAGTTCGCTATTTTTCAAGTCACCATTGTATAGCTAGGTCAATGATCTATTTTCATTGTCATGGACAGCAAACGGTAGCAAATTGATGGAAAGGTATCACCAATGATAGCAAAGACTAACTACTTCCAGCTTGGATGCCAAGCCAGGCGGCAAATTTACAAGCAATGAATATGCACCGGCGGTATGGAAGCTTGGAGTCGTGTTTCGACGTTTTCGTTCAGATTTCGGGATGGATTATGCAGATTAAAACGCCAGATTTTTACCAGTATGTTCTTTGGGAAGAACATCAATCTCAGGGATTTTAGTGCGAAAACCAACGAAGTGCAGGGTTTCGATGCCATGGTTGCCCTAAGAATATGATCCTCTGTGATTTTATCAGTAACATCTTAAAATGCAGATCCTGATAGCTAAATACCCAAAGCTTTCCGCTTGCGACAGATCTGGATTTGAGTGATTTTCCCACTTTTTGCTGCGATTGTGGACTCAGTAAGTTACCACGCTACCCCCATGAATAAGTGCTATCACCATCTTACCACTTTTTTTTTTAAGTCTTTAGTTGTTGAAAGCACGATGTGTTACCAGCTTTTGGCATATTCTTTTCCCAATTGATTTTGCACATTTTTGAGCGTTTGAAAATGGCGACTTTGCGAGTTTTCTTCTTTTCTTCCACTTTTTTCCCCGATTTTTCTTACTGGTGCTCAGCAGGGAATGAGGGAATGATCCACAATTTTCCAGTAATAATCATATATAATCATCCCATTCCCCAAGCCATCCATTCCCTGCGTAAAACGCAGCTTCCCAGCCCAGCTGGGGGACCAATTTTTTGAGGAACGGAAACAGCAAAGTGGCCTATACGGACTACCAGAACGTGAAGGGCGAGATTTGGCCCTCGATGCTCGGTTGCAATCCTTGGAATCCTTGGATCAGTGGATCCCAGCGGGATTTAGGGTACTGGTTGGGGATTTCCCCTGAATTAGTGGATGTTTTGGGAAAATTCCATGTAGATGATGGTGGACCACAATCTATTTACCATCTGATGTACATCTAATGGATGTTTCCATTGAATTGATGGTAATGATCAGAATTGATGTACTATTTGGATACACAAACCATCCGATGTCAATATGGAAAATACACATCTCCAAGTTTGATAGTTGAATTTCCGAATCAGACCCCCATTTAGGTCGGGGATTTGGACTTGCCATGTTTGATTACTAGAGGGTATATTTAATTTACTATAAATTATGATTTTTGCATTTACTGTAGTAATTTAAATAGCAATTTGATTAGTAAGTTCTGACTACTTTGGGGTTTGCTCCCTCAATTCATTGAGAGAGTTTATTTTTTCCGGGTTGGCATTATATTTGGAGGTTTACCCACTAGTTTTGGGGTTGGACAATTGGTGTATTTCACAAACCAAACATGGAGATACCACTATATAACCAGAATATACTGTACCCATCTTAAATTTTCCACCCTATATGGTCCCGAGGGGATAATGTCCCCAGTGACATTTTTTTTGGGGACATACCACTATACCACTATAGCCATAATATACCCATGATAATGCAATGATATCAGCCACTACTGGGGAATGATACTGAATTCTCGGGACTAGAATAGATATATGATGATATATGCTGGCTAGCTGGGTATCAAAAGCGTCAGTCAAGGATGATCAGAGATTGGCAGCAGGACATTGCGAAAAAAGATGGCACGTCGCGCATCGATTTGATCGGCCATGAGAAAATCGTGGTTTTCTTTCGTGAATAAATGGTGCATCTACAGCACTAAGGATAAACATGGGATATGCATCGATGCTCCTCTATCAACGGATTTCATGATCAATGGCTTGGGGATATGACTCGACCATCAATTGGCAAATGTGTCACAGGTTCATTCTGTCACAAACATCAGCCATTTTGTGAGTCCATTTGGAACCCCTGTTTTTTGAGCCAGACAGCCGAGCTGAAACTGCTATTTTCACCGAGCTGAAACCAATGGAATCCAAGTATTTCTGGGAAACTGGACCTACATTGGCTCAAAAACAAAAACGACACTTTTTTTCTAAAGTCTTAGGGTCCCAGTATGACGAGACCAGCAGTTGACCAGGTACACTCTGGCGGACTTTCATTACGACACAAGCGAAAATCTGAAGACTATGGGGTGACTTGGGTTGATTAGGTAGATCATTTATGTATGGGCCATGGCTTTCATAGCTCTGTGAGCAGAGGGTGAGTTTTTTTTTTGAATACCCATAGATAACAGGCTTGCTGCATCCATAGCCACTTACCTCTGTATTTTCCAACAATACATTCAGGATTGTTGAGTGGATACCTATTGGGATGCACATCCAAGTAGTACCTTGCTGGTAGTCTGAAACTATAGACATGGTTTTCAACGAGCCTTGTTTTGAAGGGACCCATTAAATGGATTGTTCACCGTGATCCATTGTCGGAAAGGGGTGGTCGGTCTTCCTTCTATGCTATTTGGCTCACAATTGGATCTATTCGTCTACAAAAAGTCCCTTCTTCTTGGGAATACGGTGGTTTTTCATAGGGTGAATGGAGTAACCAAACCATTTCATTGGAATATTTTGGCATTCCATGTTTTTTTTCTGTGCAAAAAGCATCAAACTATCGGCGACTTCCCCCTCCGCCTTTGGCGTCCTTAGGACCATGCAACAGGACATGAAGGCATGGGCCAAGGATAAAAACATCCAGGCCTTCATAGAGAGCCCAGGCTGTGTGGCTTATCAAAACCAGTAGATTCTCCGCCACAAAAATGGGGTCATTTTGCTGCGTCTCAAGGGATGGTGAGACTGGTGGTTTGGATCGAAGAAAGAGGTATCCTGATGTATCCTGTTTTCAGACGCAGCCATTTGGGGCCATGAGTTCGTGTGATTTTTTTGAATTAGCTCTAGCGTCTTAGCTCTAGCGTGTTCCCAGCGCCTTGTGACGCCTTGTGAGCCTCACGATGTAGAGAAATCAAGAACTGCGAAGCCCATCCACGGCCTTTGAAGGCATTTGAAAAATGGTCGCCTCCCGATGTTTGTCTTGATCATGAGAGGTAGCCTCCCTGCAGCCAGTTGCAAACCCATTTTCCTTCTGGTATGGTCAATTCTCAGTGTATGTCAGGGGATGACATTTTTTGTTGGATCACCTAAAAGAAAGTCATACGGTTGCTCACAGGACGTTCCTTGTCGCGATTTTGGATGCAACAAATTTAGTGCCTCACCGAGACGAGACCAAAGTGTCTTGCCGGCTTTAACTTGAGCAAACTATGCTTGGCAAACTATGCCCTGGGGTTTGTGACGATACATCAACAGCATATGCTGCGAAATGGCAATCTCTGAAATTAGTTGAGGAAAACCTTTGAGTTGTCCCAGTGAATTCTCAGAAGAAAGACAGATATTACAATTTTTTGGTACATTTTAGATTTCATCAGGTTGGGCTTATGTGGTGGTATGGGTTGGTGGTTTGGGGGTCTGGGAAATTGTGATTTTTTGTTTTTGTTTGCTGGGGGTCTGGGAAATTGTGATTTTTTGTTTGCAAAGCTCCGGACGGATGTTTGCAAACAGACCTTTGGCCCTTTTTTCACCCCCTCCTCTCCAAAAGGCGGTCAGCGGGTGTTGGACGTACATGGTCCTTGTACAGAAACACCCGCTGACCCACCAATGTTTGCCCCCCCTCCAGGCTAAAAGGCGGTCAGCGGGTGTTGTACATCGTCCTTGTACAGAAACACCCGCTGACCCACCAATGTTTCCCCCCCTCCCTCCTCTCCAAAAGGTAGGTGGTCAGCGGGTGTTGGGCGTACATCGTCCTTGTACAGAAGCACCCGCTGACCCACCAATGTTTCTCCCCCTCCTCTCCAAAAGGTGGTCTGCAGGTGTTGGACATACATCGTCCTTGTACAGAAACACCCGCTGACCCACCAATGTTTGCCCCCCTCCAGTCTAAAAGGCGGTCAGCGGGTGTTGGATGCACAAAGTGTCCTTGTACTGAAACACCTACTGGCCGCCAGCCCAACGTGGTCAGTGAGGCCAGCTGGTCCTGCTTGGGCTTATGTACTGGTCCTGTGCAAACACCCACTGAAATTCAGTTGTGGTCGGGCTTCCACTTCCAGTAGGCAAGCCCGTTCCTCCCAGTGCTACAATGAAAATCCCCGGGGGAGCGGCCCCAAGTTCAAGGATGAAAATCTTGCAGCGTTGCAGATGAATATGTTGGTGACACGACCCTTCGTTGTTTTGGGTCCTGCAGACTGGTGTGCTCCAATTTTTGGGTCTAACTTGACTGACTTGTTCCTCCCCAACAGTTGCTTACCATTTGAGAAAGAAGAAATATTGATGCACTGTTACAAGCATTCTTGGGATGTCATCATGATCTTGTCTAAGAACAGCTGTCTGTTGGGCATTAACTAGAAAAGAACTCGCCAAAAAGCATCCTCAACTAAGATGGAACTGAGAGACTGGGCCTGAAAAAAAATCGTAAATCCTCCACTTGCAAGAATTTCCTGAGAGTTAATTGCCGCCTGCAGATACAACCATCAGGCCCCAACGGGCCGGGGGTAAGGGGACAGAGGCTACACTCTCCAGCTGTCCAGCTACCCACCCCACAGTGCTGTTCGCTGACGTGGAGAAAAAGGTCATCCTTTTTTTTGATTGGTTCTATAGAGCAACCCCGAAAAAGGATAGAGAAGCAATCTCCACTATGTCAATCTATGTCAAATATTGTAGATTTTCACTCTCCTTTTTTTAAAGGTTGCCACGCGTCTAGCTGACATGGTCGCCCAGATACTCCTTGATGTTCTCGAGCCTTTCCGCATTTGGATGAATTGCGGATCCCCAAAAGGGGTGTAGTCTCTTCATGTTAGTGTCCAGCTGATGGGGTCAGTTGTTTTCCAGATGGTGGGAGCTTTTAGATGGCCTATCCATAATGGGAAAGAGCGATTCAGCAAGATGAAAGGAAACTGTGGCCGCTGAACCAATGCAGTCCAAGACTGCCAGCACAATTTAATCCCAAGAAACCATCGAGATGCGCATTATTTCAATGCCCCATCCAAAGAGAGCGACATATGCAGCGAAATATGAAGACCAGAACTTTAAGTATGCCTTTGTGGGTCCCAATCTTTTTTTACTTCGTCATTTTTTGGATGATCGCAGCACCCACATTTTGGGTTATTCAAACCAGAAACAGATCGGTCTCCTGGGTGATTCCGGTACGGCGCATCCAGAGAATCTTCGAACGTCAATTGACAGCATGGCGCTAGCTAAAAGTGGTGATCATTATTAATTAATAATTATGGCTTGAGATCAGCGTCAGGTGAGTCAAAATTTACTTCATTCCAACAAGACCATCCATCCGTTTCCTTTTTCGTCTGCCAGAATTTGACTTGTCGCCTTGATAATGCCCCTGGGCTCAAGCAACGCATGGCTTTGGCCCCGTGGGTCAAGCACTTATGGCGGAAGCCTTGGATGACCTGGATGACTTCGATGACGAACTGGAAGAACTCTCGTGGTCATGGCGCTATGTCTCTCTGTGTTTGTTGATTCCAACCTTGAATGGCTTCATTAACGGCTACTGCTGGGCTGGATTGTCGCTGCATTATCGAGAGATGGGCTGGTCCATTGCAAGGGTCGGGACAGCATCTACTTTTGGCTTTATCGGAAGGATTGTTTGTCAGAAGATTCAGGTGCGATATGGCTTCTTGCCTTGATATGGGTCAATGTTTCAGCTCGGGGAAAGCTTGTCCAAAACATGCGCCGCATTTGACAAGTTGTTGCTTTTCTAGAAATTTCATTCCCACCGAAAAGAATCACCACTACGCAAAAGGTTTGACAGCATGTTGGGGATGTTGGCCAACTCTAAGAGTCAGAACATGATAGAACATGACAGTCGCAGCTGCATCTTGAGGATTTTGGGTCATGATTCCACTTGGCCTAATCCACCTGATCCTCACAATGACTGGAGTCATCTTCTTTGACCAGGAATCTTGGCTTCGCTTGCTTGGCTCTTTTTCCCGAGAGCGTCTGAGCGCAGGGTTCTTCCAATAGTGGGGGTCTGTCAAGCATCTTCTCATCTTCTCATCTTCACATCTTCTCATCTTCACATCTTCTCATCTTCTCATCTTCTCTTCTTCACATCCTCTCATTTTCACATCCTCACATCTTCACATCCTCACATCTTCACATCTTCTCATCTTCACATCCTCACATCTTCTCATCTTCACACCTTCTCGCCTTCATATCTTCTCATCCTCACATCCTCACATCTTCACATCCTCAGATCTTCACATCTTCTAATCTTCACATCTTCTCATCTTCACATCTCTCACATTCTCTCTTGCCCTGTTGCTCTCTTGCCATCTTGCTATCTCCTTCTTTTCTATTTCTCTCTTGAAGGCGCGGGAAAGTGCCAACGAGACGGCACGAAACGCAACCCTTTCGCACGAAATGACGTTCGATCGCCAAAAACTGAAGTAAAATTGCGATTTGTCTTGCCCAATCGGAACCCTTTCGCACGAAATGAGCTTTGATCGCCAAAAACTGAGGCAAAATTGCGATTTCGAGGCGTCCCGCGCAACCCTTTCGCACAAAATGAGGTTCGATCGCCAAAAACTAAAGTAAAATTGCGATTTGTCTTGTCCAATCGGAACCCTTTCGCACGAAATGAGGTTCGATCGCCAAAAACTAAAGTAAAATTGCGATTTGTCTTGTCCAATTGGAACCTTTTCGCACGAAATGAGGTTTGATCGCCAAAAACTGAGGTAAAATTGCGATTTCTGGCGTCCAATCGATTCGATTTCTGGCGTCCAATCGCAACCTTTTCGCACGAAATGAGGTTTGATCGCCAAAAACTGAGGTAAAATTGTGATTTGTCTTGTCCAATCGGAACCCTTTCGCACGAAATGAGGTTCGATCGCCAGAAACTATAAAGTAAAATTGCGATTTGTCTTGTCCAATCGGAACCCTTTCGCACGAAATGAGGTTTGATCGCCAGAAGCTAAAGTAAAATTGCGATTTGTCTTGTCCAATTGGAACCTTTTCGCACGAAATGAGGTTTGATCGCCAAAAACTGCGGTAAAATTGTGATTTCTGGCGTCCAATCGAAACCCTTTCGCACGAAATTAGGTTCAATCACCAAAAACGGACATAAAATTGCGATTGGTCTTGTCGAATCGGAACCCTTTCGCACGAAATGAGGTTCGATCGCCAAAAACTGAGGTAAAATTGCGATTTCACGGTACACGGTCGCCGCAGTCTGAACGTTTTGTGGATGTTATTTTATTCATGGTCAACGATGATGACTTCGTATTCCATTGCGATTTTGGGACTGTTGTCATGGTATTGCTTGTCTTCTCGGAGTACCTTCTATTGGCTGATTAATTAATCTAGGATTGTTGTTTTGATGACTAATTTGCACGTTGCAGGACTCAGTTCCTGATGGATCTCTTAAAAGATCCAATTTTGTCTAGTGTGTGTGTGTGTGTCTGTGTGTGTGTGTCTATGTGTGTGTGTGTGTGTCTGTGTGTAAGTGTCTGTCTCTTTGTGTGCGTGTGTGTCTGTGCGTGTGTGTCTGTGCCTGTGTGTGTGTGCGTGTATGTGTCTTCCTCTTTGTGTGCCTGTGTGTGAAACCGTCCGTGTGTGAAAGCTTCTGTGTGTAAAAGTCTCTGTGTGTTAAAGTGTCTGTGTGTAAAAGTGTCTGTGTGTCAAAGCCTCTGTGTGTCAAAGCGTCTGTGTGTAAACATGTCTGTATGTAAAAGCCGCTGGGTGTGAAAGCCTTTGTGTGTGAAAGTGTGTGTGTGTGTGAAAGCATCTGTGTGCAAAAGCCTCTCTGTGTGTGTGTGTGTGTGTAAAAGTCTCTATGTGTAAAAAGGTCTGCGTGTAAAAGCTTCTCTATGCTTCTCTCTGTGTGTAAAAGCTTCTTTGTTTAAAAGGGCCTGTGTGTAAAAGCGTCTGTGTGTAAAAGCTTCTGTGTGTAAAAGCTTCTTGGTGTAAAAACTGCTGTGCGTAAACGCGTCTGTGTGTAAATGCATGTGTGTGTAAAAGCGTCTGTGTGTAAAGGCGGCTGTGTGTAAAAACGTCTGTGTGTACAAGCTTCTTTGTGTAAAAGCGTCTGTGTGTAAAAGTCTCTGTGTGCAAAAACGTCTGTCTGTGAAAAGTTCTGTGTGTGAAGAAACTACACGAAAGATACGATGCAAACTATTGTCTTGTGTTTGTGATATATTGTCTTGATACTACTCTTCTCGTCTGCCTATGATACATCTTTAATATATTGTTCGCCGAAGTAGGGTGTCTGTTTCCGCGGATTTGGGAAAGTCGTCGACAAAAAATGCAAAGGACTGCAGCGGCAGCGAGGCGCACTTGAAAAGGGTCAAAAGCACTCTTTGAAGATGAGGTCGGAAAAATCTGCACCAGACTGTAGGGAGAGTTCGGTTTCACATAAAAAACGTCAAAAACTGAGGCGTTTGGAAACTTTTGGAAGATGCGGTCGGAAAAACGTGAACGAGACTGTAGCGAGAGGAGAGCTCGAGACCATATAAAAATGGCAAAAAAATATGCATGCTCGGGGCCCGGGGCAGCGCCAGATTTGTTTGGTTGAGTCCCATTGTCAGCGCTGCGCGAACGTGGTGGGGCGCTCCTGCTATGCCGGTTTGCAACCGGCTGTGACAAAACGCATTTGCACGGCTGCGTGCAGGAAAGCACCAGTGATGTTGCGACGCTCCTGGTAAGCGGGATCGCAGCTGGAGGGTGCTAAACGCATTGTAACGGCTGCTCGAAGAGAAGAAGTGGGTTGCAGAAGCTATAGGAGAGCTAGCTGGGAGGCAGATCAGAGCAGAGGTAGCCCAGGTAAGTGGCTGCTCAGAGAAGAAGTTGCTAAGAGAAGGGGTGCCTCAGCGAAGAGGTCGCTTAGTGAAGAAGTAGCTCAACAAAGAACAGTAGAAACAGTAGCTCGCTCATCCATCCATCCACCCATGCGCAAATTCATTCCGTCGTTCATGGGTTCATTTGCTGATTCGTTGATTCATTCCGTCGTCGGTTCATTGATTCAATGATTCATTGCTTCACTGAATCAATGATTCAACCATTGATCCACTGGTTCATTGATTCATCGATTCTTTGGCGCTTTGAATCACTGATTCATAGGTTCATTGGCTTGTTGATTCATTGGTTATTTGATAGTTTGATTCATTGAGTCGTTGATTCAGTGATTCACTGATTCATTGTTTCAATGACTCACGGATTCATTGATTCGCTTGTTCATTGATCCAATGGTTGATCCGCTGGTTCTTCAATTTATTGATTCGCTGATTCGCTGGTTCATTGATTCGTTGATTCATTGATTCATCGACTCACTACTTACCTCGTTCATTGATTCATTGGTTGGTGGCTTCCTTGCTTCATTGGTTCACTGGTTCCTTGGTTCATTGATTGTTGGTTCATCGTCTGATTCATTGATTCATCGCTTCCTTCCTGTATCGATTCGCTGAATCATCGGTCCGTCAGTTGTGCATCTCAACCACCATTTTGTTCATTCGTTTATGCACCTCACAACGGCTTCGTTGCTTCTGCATCTCAAAAATCTTTCTATAGGACATCCTCTCCTTCCTATAGCGGGTTCATTTTTTAGAAACTCGCCCCGGCGCGGCGCGGGCATTGCCTGATATTATATATCTAATTTAATATAAGATAACTTAAATTAGTACAAAAGATGATATAACACAATAATAAATAAGATTTTATATACTATAATTCCTATGATAAGATATATACACATAATATGTATTAAATGATTCTTTATATCGTGCGTAGTGCAATATTTTTGTGTATAAAACATTTTTTTGAGTTCCAAACAGTATGCAAGATACAATCTGATATATTTTAGTTTCTATATATCAAAATACAATACAATGTATTGTAAATAATGTAACATTGAATATTTTTTGTTTATGTATTTTATATGATATTTACTTTCTTATACATTGCATATAGTATTTGATACATACAATTTGTATATATATATACACAGATACATGTATATTTTTTAAATGTATTTAATATACTAGAAAATAGTATAGTATTTAATGTATAAGAATATAGCGATGCAATATATTATTTAATATGTAATAGAAATTTCACCACCTAATACATAATTCAAATGGTATAATTTAATTCATCATCTCTGATATTTGTAGTTTATTCTTTTTATAGAATGTAACAGATTTGATGTATATTAATTTGTTTTTACTATACCGTATATAATTTGTAATGTGCAAAGATTCTAAATGTCAGTTTAGCCAACAACGTATTAAATGTAGATTTCAATTTATTATTATCGAGCATATATATTTATATATTGATTGTATTGTAGAAAAATAAGTGTATATATAATATATATATATTATATAATATATATATTATATAATATATATATAATATAATATATATAATATAATATATATAATTTATATATATATATATACAGTTTCCCTTTTTCCGCTGGCATCAGCACCCCAACCACCAGGAATGGGCTGTGATCCTGGAGGTTGCGGCACTGCAGAGCTTGGACGGCGCCATCACCAATGAAGGCGACCATTTTTTCGGCCCGCGGGTGTTTTGAAACATGGTGTCTCTAAGAAAAATATTAAGAGCTAGTTGTAAACCTGAATCAGGTTATACTTATATGGCGGTTTGGGTTGGTGGTTTGGAAGTCTGGGAAATCAGAGTTATGTGCAAAATAGATTTGAAAAAGGAATTTGTTTTGTTTTTGTGTTTTGTATTTGTTGTTTTGTTTTTTGTTTAACTAATCTAATCTAATCTATTTTTCTATGTATCTATCTGTCTATCTGTTTGTTTGCCTGTCTGTCTATCTATTTGCTTATCTAATATATCCAATCTATCTATTTGTTTGTCTGTCTGTCTATCTATCTTTCAATCTATCAATCTATCAACCAATCTCATATGTCTACATAATCTATCTATTTATTTGTTTGTCTATCTGTCTATCAAACTAGTCTAATCTTCTCTGATCTTATCTAATCTAATCTAAGCTAATCTAATCCAACATATCTAATCTTTCAAGTCTGTCTATTAATCTATCTAATCTATCTAATCTACCTAGTCTACCTTTTCTATCTGATCTATCTAATATGCCTAATCGATCCAAGTGACCTTACCTATCTATTCTATCTAAATAATCTACATGAAAGCAAAGCCGAGAAAAAAGTTTCTCTTGAAACAAATTCCATTGCGGTCCTATCCTGTACTCTGACTGATGCAGGTTTCATGGAGTTTCCATGGAGTTTCCATGCAGGTTTCATGTTGGTTACATGCTGGGTTTGCTGATTTAGCTTACTGGTGTGTAACCTCCATGACAACTCCCTGGAACCTGCATGGAATCTGCATGGAACCTCCATGGAACCTGTATCAGGCAGAGTGCATGGTAAAACCAACAAATATAGATACATGGAACCTGAATGAAATCTACATCAATTCCCCATGGAACCTGCATGGAACCTGCATGAAAACTGCATCAGTTAGAAGGCGCCATGCAACCATCACGTTTAGACACAAGAAACAACGGAACCGACATGAAACCTCCATGAAACCTACATCAATTCTCCATGGAACCTGCATGGATACTCCATCAATGAAGCGCCATACAAGCACCAGGTGTAGATACAGGGAACAGAGACTCTTTTTTTTAATGGAAACTACATGGAAACCATCAGACGCTTTGATGCAAATCAAATCGATGGTAAACTGGTCGTAAAAAAAAACGCACAAAAAGTGTCATAGCATCTGTGCATTGATGTCGTTTTCACTAGGTCATGTGTCTTTGTTGATGTCCCTTTTTGTTTCTGCACTGGAAAAGTCAATTTCTTCCAGAGTTTCTATTTATCCTGTGTGTTCACTGCTTGGTGGTTTCGATTTTGGCAAGGTTTCAACTGTGAATTTTTGTTTGATGTCATTTTGGGGTTTTATGTCTGTCTCGGTGTCAATTTGATGGAGGTTCCTAACATATAATATTGCAAACTAAGTTAATGAAAAACGAAACCACCAAGAGAAATGAACTCACTTATGTGCATCTTGGATTCTATGATCACCAAACCATATGAATATATGAATTGGCAAGCGCCGTTCTCTACAGGCCTTAGGTTCTTGCCGATGGCATATTGATGTTGTTTTATGGCCTTCTTATTCGTTTCTAGGCCGATGTCAAATCGATCGACAAACGATCGCAAAATGATCGTAAAACAGCGTCGAAATCTTACATCAAAACGACACATTACAAAGTCCACACTTGAAACCCTGACCTTGCCAACATCAAAACGGCCAAGCAACGAACACTCAGGATAAATAGAATTTCTGGAAGAATTTGACTTTTCCAGTACAGAAAGCAAAAGAAACATCAGCAAAAACAGATGGCCTAGTGAAAACGACATCAAAATGCGGAGATGCTATGACAGTTTTTGTGTGTTTTTTTCGATCAGTTTACGATCGATTTGCGATCAATTTGCATCAAAACGTCTGATGGTTTCCATGTAGTTTCCATTTAAAAAAGTCTCGAACATGTTCCCTGTATCTACACCTGATGCTTGTATGGCGTCTTCTTTGATGGAGTATCCATGCAGGTTCCATGGAGAGTTGATGTAGGTTTCATGGAGGTTTCATGTAGGTTCCGTTGTTTCTTGTGTCTAAACGTGATGGTTGCATGGCGCCTTCTAACTGATGCAGTTTTCATGGAGGTTCCATGCAGGTTCCATGGAGAATTGATGTAGATTTCATGCAGTTTCCATGTGCGTTATGGAGGTGGTGCCTCTATCTACACTTGTTGGTTTTATCATGCACTCTGACTGATGCAGGTTCCATGGAGGTTCCATGCAGATTCCATGCAGGTTCGAGGGAGTTGTCATGGAGGTTACCCACCAGTAAGCTAAATCAGCAAACCCAGCATGTAACCAACATGAAACCTGCATGGAAACTCCATGGAAAATCCATGAAACCTGCATCAGTCAGAGTACAGGATAGGACCACACGGTTTCAAGAAACCGTCTTTCCCCCATTTCAAAAATAAATAGACAATTACAGAAAATGCACTAGAATTCAATAATGAATTCAACAAGCATGTGAAATTATTGGAAATTAAATAAGTGTATATTTTCCGAGATACAAGATGAATATCAATTCAAAAACAAACCTAATCTGGTAGCAATCATTGTTGTTTGAATTTTTTTCCTTTATTTTCAACGATTTCATTGTTTACAGGGTTTGATATTTTTTGTTTTTTCTAAGTTCACAAAACTATCAATTCCCAGACTTCCAAGCCACCAACCCAAACCACCACGTAAGCACAAGTTGACTGAAAATTAGTAGATATTAAATATTAAGAGCTAGTTGTAAACCTGGAAACTAGTAGATATTCAGAATATATCTAGGAAACTACTGGTTGTAATGGTTGTAATCCTGAAAAGTGAGTGTTTTCTGAAGATGGTTTGTTTCTAAGAACAATGAGATTAACAAATACTGGCTATAGTCCTCACCAGTAGTACCGCGCAAGGCGGCGGTGGAAGCTTCAAAAATAGGAAATCTATAGGAGAGGTGAGTTGTTGTGATGCATGGCTGCCGAAAGGCTGTTGAGACTCTGAGTCTGTCTCTCCTCTCTATCTCCATTTCCATCTCCATCTCTATCTCTAACTCTATCTCTCCCTCTATCTCTCCCTCTCTCTCTATCTGTTTGTCTGTCTGCCTGCCTGTCTGTCTGTCTGCCTGTCTGTCTGTCTGTCTGTCCATGTATCTCTATCTACTATCTACCTAGCTACTATCTATCCATCCATCCATCCATCCATCTGTCTGTCTTTCTGTCTGTCTGTCTGTCTGTCTGTCTCTCTGTATCTATCTGTCTGTATCTATCTATCTGTATCTATCTATCTGTATCTATCTATCTGTATTTATCTATCTGTATCTATCTGTCTGTATCTATCTATCTGGATCTATCCATCCGTATCTATCTATCTGTATCTATCAATCTGTATCTATCTTTCTGTATCTATCTATCTGTATCTATCAATCTGTATCTATCTTTCTGTATCTATCTATCTGTATCTATCTATCTATATCTATATCTATCTATCTGTCTATCTATCTATCTATCTACCTATCTATCCATCTATCTATCTATCTATCCATCCATCCATCCATCCATCCGTCTTACCTATCTGGCTATCTCATCTATCTCATCTACCTCATCTATCTCACCTATCTTATCCGTCTTATCTATCTTACCTATCTTATCTACCGAACCTGTCGTATCTATCCTGTCTATCTTATCTATCTTATCTATCTTATCTATCTCACTATCCCATCCATCTGATCCATCTAATCCATCTAATCCATCTAATCTATCTAACCTATCTAACCTTTCTTATCTAGGTAATCTATCTAGTCTGTCTAATCTATCTAAGCAATCTATTCGATCTAATCTATCTAATCTTTCTAATCCATCTAATCACAGAACCCATCTTATCTATATAATCTATCTACTCTATCTGGTCTATCTACTCTATCTACCATATCTAACCACTCCAGTCTATCTAACCCATCTAATCTATCTAGTCCACCTAATCCATCTAACCGATCCAATCTATTGAATCTTTCCAGTCTATCTAATCTATCTAATCTATCTAATCGAGCTAACCTATCTACCAATCTACCTATCTATCTACCTACCTATCTATCTATCTATCTGTCTATCTATCTATCTATCTACCTATCTACCTACCTATCTATCTATCTATCTATGTATGTATCCTAACTATCTATCTATCTATCTACCTATCTATCTATCTATCTACCTATCTATCTATCTATCTATCTATTTACCTATCTATCTATCTATGTATCCTAACTATCTACCCACCTATCTATCTATCTACCTATCTATCCTATCTATCTACCTATCTATCCTATCTATCCTATCTGTCCTGTCTATCCTATCTGTCCTATCTATCCTACCTATCCTATCTATCTATCTAACCTATCTATCTATCTATCTATCTACCTATCTTTGTATCTATCTATCTACCTACCAATCTATCTATCTACCTATCTATCTATCTATCTACCTATCTATCTATCTACCTATCTATCTATCTATCTACCTATCTATCTATCTATCTACCTATCTAACCTATCTATCTATCTATCTATCTATGTATCTATCTATCTATCTACCTATCTATCTATCTACCTATCTATCTATCTACCTATCTATCTATCTACCTATCTATCTATCTACCTATCTATCTATCTATCTACCTATCTAACCTATCTATCTATGTATCTATCTATCTATCTTATCTATCTTATCTATCTTATCTATCTTATCTATCTTATCTATCTTATCTATCTGATCTATATCTATCTTATCTGTCTTATCTATCTTATTTATCTTATCTATCTTATCTATCTGATCTATCTGATCTATCTTATCTATCTTATCTATCTTATCTATCTTATCTATCTAACCTATCTAACCTATCTAACCTGTCTAACCTATCTAACCTATCTAATCTATCTAATCTATCTAATCTATCTTATCTATCTAATCTATCTTATCTATCTTATCTATCTTATCTATCTAATCTATCTAATCTATCTAATCTATCTCATCTATCTTATCTATCTTATCTATCTTATCTATCTAATCTATCTAATCTATCTAATCTATCTAACCTATCTAACCTATCTAATCTATCTAATCTATCTAATCTATCTAATCTATCTAATCTATCGAATCTATCTAACCTATCCAATCTATCTAATCTATCTAATCTATCTAATCTATCTAATCTATCTAGTCTATCTAATCTGTCTAATCTATCTAATCTAATCTAATGTGATCTAATCTGATCTAGCCTGATCTGACCTGATCTAACCTGATCTAACCTGATCTAACCTAATCCAATCTAATCCAATCTAATCCAATCTAATCCAATCTAATCCAATCTAATCCAATCTAATCTAATCTAATCTAATCAATCTATCTGTCTACCTACCTATCTATCCTGTCTACCTACCTATCTATCCTATCACTCCTATCTATCCTATCACTCCTATCTATCCTACCTATCCTATCTATCCTATCTATCCTACCTATCCTATCTATCCTATCTATCCTATCTATCCTATCTGTCCTATTTATCCTATCTATCCTATCTGTCCTATCTATCCTATCTATCCTATCTATCCTATCTGTCCTATTTATCCTATCTATCCTATCTGTCCTATCTATCCTATCTTTCCTATCTATCCTATCGATCCTATCGATCCTATCGATCCTATCGATCCTATCGATCCTATCGATCTATCGATTTTTGGATCTATCGATCGATCAATCTTTCTGTCTGTCTGTCTGTCTATCTTTCTATCTATCTATCTATCTACCTCTCTATCTGTCTATCTCTCTATCTCTCTATCTCTCTATCTCTCTATCTCTCTATCTCTCTATCTCTCTATCTCTCTATCTCTCTATCTCTCTATCTCTCTATTTCTGTATCTCTCTATCTCTCTATCTCTCTATCTCTCTATCTCTCTATCTCTCTCTCTCTCTATCTCTCTCTCTCTCTATGTTTCTTTTTGTGTACCTACCTGACGGGAAGCAATTGTATGCGGGTAGAAGTTCACAGCTCCAAACGACAAAATTTCGCGAGACTTCCTCAAAAAATCAAAACCAAACAATTCTGCGAGACTTCTGATAAAAATCGGCCTTGGGGTGCAAAGCTGATGCGCCCGTGCAAGGCTGATGGGCCCGAACCAGTGCATTTTGTGATTTTTTCATCCCATCTCTCCAAAGTACTGCGCATGCCCTTGAAAAAGTGAAACCAGGTCATGCGAAGTTTTGTGCCTGTCACGCAAAATAATCTTAGCAAACCTGAAGATCCGACACTCCAAAATGCAACCTTTCCAAGGAAATCAGCGCCCTGACTTCCTAACATGTCTGACGGAGGCGTCTCTTGTATTGCCTCTGCCAAGCAAAATGCATCTTTGCAGATCCACGCCTGCCAGCGTTTTTGAAACGGCTACAAAACCCTCACGTTTGGCTCACTTCTTGCAGCATCCATTGCGGTTGCCATGAAAAATGACAGTTGGACGGTTGAACGTGTAAAAAAAATCTGAACTTGTGGTGTTTTGACATTTTGACTTCGAAATTCACTTCGCACCACAGTCGCGGTCACTTTTTGAGCAACACACTTCCAAAAGTGCTCCGAACATGCATTGCTTTGGACATTTTGACTTCGAAATGTGCTTCGCGCTACAGCCGCATGGAGCTCAACGGCTCAACTGCCAAAAGTGCTCCGAACCTGAGGTGTTTTTAACATTTTGACTTCCACATGTGCTTTGCGTCACAGCCGTGCACTTTTTAAGCAACTCAACTTCCAAAAGTGCTCCGAGGCTGCAGTGTTCGAAACGTGCTTAGCAACACAGCGGCGTGCAATTTTAGAAACCTCATTCTGCCACATAGCTGCGCATCCGTCGCTTTAACGAGCCTACTTTTCGACCCTCCGGAACTGCAAAACGTCGGAAAAGACAGTGTCTCCCGACTTTTCTATCTTTTCATGTATTTGGGGGTTGTTTCTACTGAGGCTCTCTAACTTGACTCTTTCCACAACTGTTGTTGCATTTTCCCAGAAGTCGGAAGTTTGACTCCTAGATTCCTTCGATAACGTAATTTGAAACTGGTATATTTAGGGTTAAAAAAAATGGTACCTTTGAGATGGTATTCTAAGAACAGTGGGAGAGAATTTTGAGAGATTTGAGATGTTTTGAGATGTGTGTAAATGGTATATTTGACGCCCGTTTTATGGCCCATGTGAGTGATGGGTCAAAATAAAAATGAACCCCGTCCCAAAACATGTAATACTCACATCGTCTCACATCCCAATTTTTTTACATAGTTCCAGCAATCCTTTGCAATATTGGGGACGCAATCGATGACTATATCCAATAGCAACTTAAACCATACCAACTGGGTATCCTATATCAAACGGAAGGGTTTTGGTAATGTTCTGCTCTGCGAACAGAGTTGATCAGGCAGCAAATCAATTGACAACCAGATTAATTTCCCAGAGGGTTCAAATCTTTCTGCGACGATACTTAGGTTTGATATGTATATTAATATGACATCAATGACATCTATTTCCTGAATTATATCCATGTAATCATCTTGGAGTATTTTTCTCCAGGACATTTTTTTTTCTACATCACCGACACGTCCCATGCGGCGAGGCCTGGCCTTCGACGCTTTCGGCCGAACGGAGGACCTGGCGCGGCAGGCGGCCGCCACCGTGCTGGCGATGTTCACCATCAGTGGGGCCCTGTCGGTGCCCCGAAAAAACGTGGGGAAAATGGCGGTGAATCTGGAAAAAGATGGGAAAAAACTGGGGCAGAATATGGAAACGATAGGAAATCTGTGGGAAAAACGGTGGGAAAACATATATCTGGGAAACATGCGGGAAACATATGGGAAACATATGGGAAAAACTGAAGGAACATGTTGAAATATGGGAAGCATGTGGGGAACATGGGCAAAAATGTGGCAAAACATATGGGAACCATTTCGGGCAAAACTTGAGGAGAATAACGAACAAAAAGGGAAACAGTGGGAAAACATATGTGACAATTCCGGGGGAAATTTGGTGTGGAAAATTTGGGGAAATATAGAAAAAAAGGGTACATGTGGGAACCATGTGGGAAGAATGTGGCAAAACAGATGGCAAACATGTAGGAAGACCTTGGGGAGAACCTGGAAAAATCGGAAACATGTGGGAAACATATGGGACATACGAGAACCATATGGGGAAAAATGTGGGAAGACATAGGTCAATATGGGAAGAAATTAGAAAATATGGGAAACATATGGGAAAACATGTGGGAAAACAGGTAGGAGAACATATGGAAATTTCATCCATGTGATTTACAGGAAATTAGCGGATTTACCATGGGGATTTCTGTCCACATTGCCCTTGAAATTACTTCTATGGCTAATTTGACGATATCTGGTATCATTGTATACCCAAGAATCATTGTCAAAAACATGATCAATACTGCTTGTTGAAAACAAGCACGGATTTCCCATGATGAATCGTGATGATTGCCAATTAATCATCAATTCATGGTAGTTAAACCCCCCATATAATCATAGTAACCCCCATATATTGCCAATTATATAATCTTGATAGTAAAACCATTTTTTAATCATCAATCCACGTTGTGGTTTTGTGAACCCCATGTTGTGATCCGATCCGATCCAGAGGGAAAATCTATTTTTATGTTTTCGGTGAATAGCTAAAAATATAAGTGCTCTTTAAAGGGCATTTTTGGGAATGTATTTTCAGGGAAATGCCATGGATAATATAGCCATGACATATCCATGAAGTAAGTTTATTGGGTATATATTTTCAACTGTTGTCGAATATAGGGTAAACATTTACTGCAAAGGACATATCATTATTCATGGCTACACTTTCTGAATGGGAACCATTCCCAATAGCAGCTACACGGTCATGTTGAGGAATTTTATCAACCATCCAGGGGCATTTTAAGCATCAATACCCTCCGGTAATTTCATGTAGCTATTGAAAATTATTGTTTATAGATTTTATAGTTCATTTACCTATTATACTGCGTTAGTTTACCTATTAAGGTTTAGTTGTGGATTTAAGTAGCCTAGGGACGAAGAAATTCTTGTTCGTGGATCTGGCAAAGTTGAAGATCCTGCTGTGCCCATTGGGTGCTCATTGACTTGACACACACACACACACATCAAGTGTTCCAAGATAGTGGTGCCCAAATCCATGCAAGTCGTGTTTTCTTTCCCTGTGACCCTCTGATAATTTAACACATCTATGGAAAATCACTTTTGTTCATAGGTCATAGGACTTAATAGGTATATCGGTATATAAATCATCTATAATTTGAGCATTTTCCATTGCTGCGTTAAATTGCAAAAGGGTAACTGCTTTGCGAAGATATATCAATGAGGCCAACAAAACCAACAGGAGGTCGGACATCCGAGGTTCCTATTGCCGGAGCGCTGTATGACAATGTGGGTGGCTGGCAAAGCATGTCCGTGGCTCATTTGGTGTGTCAGGGGCCCCTTGGTTTTCTGATGTAGCCGGAGGTGTAGCCGGAGGTGTCATCAAACGTGGCAAGCTGGAAAATCCACCCATTTAGTTCGATGATTTTCCCATTGAAACCTTCATCTATAAGGGATTTACCGTTGCCATGTTTGATTACCAGAGGGTTTCTTTTTGCTTCTTCTTCGACTGAATGCGAACGAACGACATTATTCATATAGGTGCACACCTCCCCATCAAAAAAACATGTGTAATGACATGTGCTTCAGAAAATTACATATATATATAGTGTATATTTACAGTACATAGATAGACATAGTATTATTCATTGACATGTGTGCAGCTGATGTATCGATATGTTTACCTACTGACACATTGGTTGGCATATGTGCTGACATGTGACTTACTTGCCGACAAGATGTACCACGATATGTACTGACGCATAATAAAATGATAATTTTCCCGGCGGTTACACGACTTGTGCGCTGAGATATGTACTTGCACATATACGGACAAGTTTTTCGCACATGCACGGATGCATTTATTGAAACATTTCTGCAATAGCGTGGACATACGTGCGGAAATCTTTAAATCATGTTCGCCGACATATGTGCCAACACTTACTATAAAGGCGCACAATTGCCATCTTGATCAGCATATGTGGTCACACAAAATTGAACAGAGTCTGACAGACAGACGATTCGCAAATAAACAGACATTTGATTATCACAGATACTGATTAGCTACTTATGTATGTACACATGTATGTAATGTAATGTAATGTAACGTAACGTAATGTAATGTAATGTAATGGAAAGGAATGGAATGGAATGTAATGTATGTATTGTATGTATGTATGTATTGTAATGTAATGTAATGTAATGTAATGTAATGTAATGTAATGTAATGTATGTAATGTAATGTAATGTAATGTAATTAATGTAATTAATGTATGTATGTATGTATGTATGTATGTATGTATGTATGTATGTATGGTATGTATGTAATGTATGGTATGTATGTATGTAATGTATGTGTATGTATGTAATGTATGTAATGTATGTATGTAATGTATGTAATGTATGTATGTAATGTATGTAATGTATGTAATGTATGTAATGTATGTAATGTATGTAATGTATGTAATGTATGTAATGTATGTAATGGGTGTAATGCGTGTAATGCGTGTAATGCGTGTAATGCGTGTAATGCGTGTAATGCATGTAATGCATGTAATGCATGTAATGCATGTAATGCATGTAATGCGTGTAATGCATGTAATGCGTGTAATGCATGTAATGCGTGTAATGCATGTAATGCATGTAATGCATGTAATGCATGTAATGCATGTAATGCATGTAATGCATGTAATGCATGTAATGCATGTAATG